TCATTACTGGACATTATTTCTTCCACTAGGTCATTATTAAGTCCTATTTAGTGAATAAAAAAGTTTAAGTCCTACATTAGGAAAGTTATTATGTTTCGCCATGTCACTAGGTTAATTCTTCTAATTACATGCTAAAAAAGTGAATCAAAGATTTAGAAATGGGTATTATTACGTACCTAGTGCGGATCTGCATAGAATGGAGGTGGTGAGTAAATAGATTCTGTCGGAGAGATTAAGCGGCTTGCCGGAAGACGAACGGACGTCCGACAGAAGGCGGCGGAGCTCGTCACGCCGTACGGAGCGTATCGCATCGGAGTCGAGGCGAAGCGCCGTGACGCACAATCTCTTCATCTGCCTCCAGTAATCGCCGTAGGGGCAAAACCCGACGTCGGAGCGGCCGTAGAAGATGGTCTTCCCGCTCACGTACTCCGGCCTGGTGGCGAAGGCGGAGTCGTGGGTCCTGAGGAACTCCCTCGCCATCTCCGGGGACGAGACGACCGCCAGCGGGATTTCCCCGACCTGGAGGCGCGTGAGCCCCGGGGGACAGGAGGGGTGTTTCTTTGCCAGCTCGCCCAGGACGCGGTGAGCTGGCATGGAGATGAGCGACATCCCCACTTGGTGCAAGTTCCCGATCACCGGTATCCTCCGCGGCCCCGGCGGCAGTTTCTTGCCGGCGGTTTCTTCGTCCTCTTTCTTGTTATTCCACTGTCTGTGGATTAGGGTTAGGGTTAAAATGAGAAAAGAGAGGAAGATGGCGGCACAAGAATGGAAGTAGTCGATGATGAATAAAGATGATGAAGCCTCCATTGTTAATACTGTAATAATCCAAGCCAGGAATCATTCAAGTCGGGGTTTGCTCTTATAAAAGAAACTCCTCCGTAACTTTTTTTTACTCCCTATTTTTTATTTACCACCGTAAGTTTTAACCTAGGGTATATACCGTCAAACATTTGTAGGGATAGCCATTTAAGAATCAATAGGGATAAAACTTTTTTTTTTTATAAAAATAAGAAAAATTTTTTGGAACGGATAAAAAAATAAAAATTATATCTAGGTAGAGATTATAAAGATAATTTGTGAGTTCGTAATATATATATATTGATAGAATTTAGGATGGGGTAGGGATAACTGGATTGGGCTATAAGACATTTGAGTTGAATCATATTAAAAGATTGAATCCAATCGATTAGTTAGTTCAACTCTAGAGCTTATATACCGGTTTATTTTCTCTTCAAGTTCCGATGTGGGATATTCTTTAACACTCCCCCTCAAGTGGACAACCGGGCCATTTTGAATCTAACCGGTTGACCACTTGCAAATGGACTCCCATCCTCGTGATTTTTTTTTGAGCGCCAACACCTAAAGGACCACGAGCCGCTGGGTATGGACTTCCAGACGAGCAATCGTGTTAAACAGGCCACAGGCCGTTGGGTACAACCTCCATACGGACAATCGGGCTAAAGACTAACGGGCCGCTAGGAATGAACGTCTAGACGGACACCTTGACAAACGAGGTGGGCCAAAACCTGCTCCGATACCATGCTAGAATTTAGGATGGGGTAGGGATAACTGGATTGGGCTATAAGACATTTGAGTTGAACCACATTAAAAGATTGAATCCAATCGATTAGTTAGTTCAACTCTAGAGCTTATATACCGGTTTATTTTCTCTTCAAGTTCCAATGTGGGATATTTTTTAACATATATACATACTATGAATTCAATAAACCCAAAGATTATCTTCTTATTACCTAAATCTATACCAATTGAGGTTCATAATCAAAGCTCTACTACTCCATACACACGAGTTATTTAACCCCCTAAATTAAACCTCCATTCCTCTTAGCAAACATGTTTAATTTCCTCCCGAGGGAGACTCTTTTAGGGTTCGTTTGGTACACGGAATTGGCGGGATTGGTATCAAAATTTTACGGAATTGAATTCGAGCCTCCAATTCATTTTTTGCACTTCCAATACTAAATATGCATATTTTTATGCTACCAAACAACAGAATTAAAATTGAAGTTCTCAATTTCAATTCCATGACTTGAATTCTGTATAGCAGACAGAGCCTCATAGTCTTCAGCAACTCCCCACAAAACCTCACCTCGGATATTATACCAATTGTCAAGAACAAGTTAGAGTTTTTGGTTGATATGGTTCCATGACATGGTATCGGAACCTTGTTAACTAAGATGTCACGAGTTCAAAACTCAGTGTCACCTAATTTTAAAGAAAAATTAAGGTTTCATTTGCAAAGCTCGAACTTGTGGTTGTGGCCAAGAAGGTTTTTTTATTCTAACATGTTCCCTTACATGCAGGCAAGATTTGTTTTTTTTTGCTCGAGCATTTCATGTGAACATTAATTGTATTTTAAATTGCGTTGCGCAAACTCGTGACTTCTTAATGAACAAGACTCTGATACCATGTCAAGGAACCATATCAACCAAAAAAATTCAAATTTGTAGTTGTAGCAAATGAGGTTTTTATATCCAAACACCAATAAGTAGTGACAAGGCCGGCCCAAGAGTGGGCACTACCTTTTTCGGGGGCCCAACATTTAAATACTGGAGTATATATTGTATACGGAGTATATTTTTGTTTTAGTAAAAAATTTAAAAACATAATTTTTGAAGGAAGGTATTACGACATTTAAATATCATACTCCCTCCGTCCCATGAAACCTTTCTCCTTTCTTTTTTTATCCGTCCCACAAAACACTTCTCATTTCTATTAAAAAGTCACTTTTACCCTTTACTTTTTCATACCCTAACTATCACATCATACCTTTTTACTAATAATCTATCCATCAAATTATACTTTTACCCATCACATCAAAGGACATTTTTGAAAATTCAATACCAAAATACACTCTCCTTAAATCCCTTCTAAAAAGCAAAAGTCCCATGTTTCATGGGACGGAGGAAGTACTATAATTTTATTATATGCATTACTATAATATCAATTGTTGTTTTAAATAAAATACTCCCTCCGTCCCCTTAAGATTACTCATTTTGACTTTTGATGGTTTTTAAGGAGAGTTGAAAAAATGGGAAAGTTTACCATAATACCCTTAATGAAAATGGATGGAGTGTATTAAATGAGGTGGGTGAGGTGTAATAAATAAAGTAAGTGGGGGTAGTTGTGGTATTTTAATTGTTAAAAAATGAAATGAGAAGAGCTATTGTGGACAAAGAAAAAGGGCTATTGGGAAGATCTATGGGGGATAGAGGGAGTAGTTTATATCATTTAATTTTTAAGAGCATTTTCTTTCGTCTCGTCCAAGGCCATTGAATCGTGGAGGATGGCCCTGAGTACATACTGAGTTAATCAACCTGCTGGTTTAACAAGCATATGAAGGATGTTTAGTTAGTTTTGCTGCATGCTGCTGGTGATAATGTTAGCAAACAACTTCTCAATAATGAAGTCATCACAATCACTAGTACTTGTTGTGCCTAGCTAGCTAGACGTACGTGTAGGACAACGTACTCAAATAGGTGGATGTTTAAAAAAACAAGCAAATTAATACACACTTTGGTTGTTGAAGAAAAAGATGCAAAAAGGAGAGGGGCATTTACATTGGTTATATGGAATAAGCGATGTAAAGAAGCAATTGCGTCGTTTATTCATATAACCGATGCAAATGATTTAATCTATTGCATCGGTTATTACCTACTCGATCTCCGCTTGTCCCTCTTTCCTTTCTTTATTGACTTTGTGCAGCTGGTCTACTCTCTGTTTGTCCCTCTTTCCTTTCCTTCGAGAGTCGGGACTTGAACAACACGGTCTTTTTTTATTTATCCCAGAATACATATACTCCCTCCGTCCCAAAAAGATCGCTACGTTTCATTTTTTGCGCATCCCTTAAAATATTTTTATATCGTCTCAAATGCCAAAAAAACTTTCAAAACAATTTCATCTTATAATAAAGAGTAAATATGGTAAATTTTAGAATTTTTAGATGTGAGTAGCATTGCTTTTTGGGATGCGCAAAGAAATGAAACGTAACGATCTTTTTGGGACGGAAGGAGTATATAATATGCGTTGTAATTTTTACCCAGAGTGTTTAGTTAGTGATCAGAGTTTGTCTAATTTGACTGCAAATAGTTAAACTAGACAAATATATTGTAACGGAAATTATAATATTAAGCAGAAAGAAAAAAAAAAGTAAAACTGCAAGATTAAAAATCATAAAGTCTTTGACAAAAATCATAAAGTCCGGAAAAAAATCGTATATTCCGTAGTTAAAGTCCTTGGCAGAAAAGAAAAAAATCATAAAGTCCGGAAAAGAGATCAAGGAATCTATTTATTCAATTCCTTTATTTGGGCATTAAAAAGTATATTACCTTCGTCCCGTGAAACATTTCCCCTTTCTTTTTTTATCCGTCCCACAAAACACTTCTCATTTCTATCAAAAAGTCACTTTTACCCCTTACTTTTTCATACCCTAACTATCACATCATACCTTTTTACTAATAATCTATCCATCAAATCATACTTTTAACCATCACATCAAAAGACATTTTTGGAAATTCAATACCAAAATACACTCCCTTAAATCCCTCCTAAAAAGCAAATGTCCCATGTTTCACGGGACGGAGGTAGTATTTATTTGACATAATTAAGAGTTAGACGTAATTTAAGAAAATTACACTTTAAATAACTACAAAGTAGTTAAAACTTAGGGGTGTTATTTCAAAATTAATTATGGGTGTGCTCTTTTGAGGGGGACAACAAAAAGAAGTGGTCTATAATATAATATGAAATATTTATCAAAAAATGAATGAAAACGTTTTTTATATCAATAAAAAAATTTAAATAGTGGGAAGGAGCATTTCTTTTACTCCCTCAGTCCAACAGTAAAGTTTATATTTACTATTTACATGATCAAACTTTATTCACTTTGTTGAGCTATTTTTGTATCATATTTTAAAAATTTATATAGTCATTTTCACCATTTTTTCATATAAAATAATTTAAAAATAACTTCAATCAAATCGAAATTTTATTTTTGGAGGGAGTATAAAAGCCGGGGCGGGCTGCTTCATTAGTTCCTCGCTTCATTATTAGTATTATTACGGAGTATTTTTGCAGTAATAAGTCTAATAACCATGGAGGCTTCTTTTGCAACGACCCTCTTCCTCTCTTTTTTCATTTTAACCCTAACCCTAATCCACAGACGGTGGAAGAAGGAGGAGGAGGAAGAAGAAGCAACCGCCAGCAACAAACTACAACCACCGGGGCCGTGGAGGATACCGGTGATCGGGAACTTGCACCAAGTGGGGATGTCACTCGTCTCCATGCCAGCTCACCGCGTCCTGGGCGAGCTTGCAAAGAAACACCCCTCCCGTCCCCTGGGGCTCACGCGCCTCCGGGTTGGGGAAATCCTGCTGGCGGTCGTCTCGTCGCCAGAAATGGCGAGAGAGTTCCTCAGGACCCACGACTCCGCCTTCGCCACCAGGCCGGAGTATGTGAGCGGGAAAACCATCTTTTACGGCAGTTCCGACGTCGGGTTTTGCCCCTACGGCGATCACTGGAGACAGATGAAGAGATTGTGCGTCGCGGCGCTTCGCCTCGACTCCGATGCCATACACTCGGTGCGGCGCGACGAGATCCGCCGCCTTCTGTCGGACGTCCGTTCATCTTCCGGCAGGCCGCTTAATCTCTCCGACAGAATCTATTTTCTCACCACCTCCATTCTATGCAGATCCGCACTAGGTAATAATGAATATACATTCTCTCACTATTTGTCCCCATTTGATTTTTAGAGTAAAAAAGAGGACGACTTTGTAAGAAGTATTATTAGATATTAATACATTTTTTTTGGTTGGGGGTGGGGGAGGGGCAAGCTAAGATATTACTTCCTCCCTCCCGTTTTAAATCGCCCGTTTTGACTTTAGGCATATTTAATGAAGAGAAAAAATAGAGCTGTCTTTCCAAAATTACCATTACTTTTTATGAAGGATGATGATCAAAGAAAAGATAAGGTAGAGAAGAGTGACTAATTTTAGGAGTAGTTTAGGTATTTTGCTCTTAAATTTTACGATAACACAAAACATGCAACTTATTTTGGAACGGAGAAAAAAGACAAACATACAATTTAAAATGGGACAGAGGGAGTAATACAATTAAACACTTGAGAGAACTCTACGAATAAAAACAAAAAATAATAAAAATACCAAAATAAGAGTACCGCCCCACAGGTCGGCAGAGCGCCGCCCACCGCTTGAATGCGGGTGCAGGGTACTGGCCGGAAGCCGGAATATCATCGGCATGGACCACAATTGAAATATAATGATTATATATATATATATATATATATATATATATATATATATATATATATGTCTTTACCCAATTAGTTAAATAGCATGTTTTTACCCAATTAGTTACACAACACTCCGATCCGTCTATATATATCTAGCTCATAACTGCACTCCACATGGAAGTAGTTAGCCGCTGGCCAGCAGAGAATTGAAGCTTTCCAGCAACCTTAGCCTGTACTACGTACGTACGTACCACCAAACGCGCCTCCGGTTATGGGTACACGTTGCATTGGCTCACTAATTAGTATAGTACGTGTGATGGGAGAGCCCTAGCTAGTCGGTCTATACAGTGAATTGAAAAAAAAAAAAGAAGGAATGACACCCCTCCCCATCCCGAGGGCCCCTCAGCACCCGCCGGACAATTAGTTGAGATGAAATAAATTGAACTATAATTTCAGTCAGATGACATAAAAATGAGGTTCTGTGTCTCGTGCTTGCAAAAGTCTTATGTTTTGCATGGTTACCTCTCATCAGAGTCACAAGGCTTCGAACTCGGGATCTCTCCCTAGTGCTCCTATAGCGTGAATTGGAAGAGACGTAGTCTCTTCGTCTCCAGCAAATATCTTTTCATTACGCGTTACAAGATTTGATTAACTTTATTTTCTACTCCCTCCGTTTCCATTTGATTTGGGGGCAAAAATAAGTGTTAAATTATAGTTGATTTCCAATTTTGCCCCCTGATGTGATGGGTAAAAGTAAGATGTGATAGATAGATTATTAGAAAAAAAGTATGATGTGATAGATATGGTATGAAAAAGTAAGGGTAAAAGTGATTTTTTTAATAGAAAGGGGAAGTGTTTTGTTGGAAGTGAAAAAAATGAAAGAGGAAGTGTTTTTGAGAACGGAGGGAGTATTTAATTTATTTGATTGAAAAGGAAAAACAATTAAAATAAAAATTATATCGTAAAACTATACATGAAAAGTTCTACAAGACTAGAAGTGGCAGTACTATATTACTTTATGAAATAAGTAAACAAAATGAATTAAGTTTGGCCCTGTGAATAGTATCTGGAAAGATCTATGGTGCACAGAAGGAGTACATTAGTTCGTCATACAACACTAGCTCGAGAGCACATGCCTATTGTGTAGTATGATAATAATAAAAATAATAAGAGATTATAATAATAATAATAATAATATTATTATTATTATTAATCGAGGTACCGTTGGTACCTCGAATGAATTGTTGTAAAAAAAAAGTGTTGTAAGAATAAACCCCTCATATGTATATACTCCGTACATTATTATACTACAGGTAATTCATTCACTGGAAGAAGAGAGTTAATGGTGCTAGTAAAGAACATATTTGAGTTGGTGGGACAATTGGATTTTGTGGATGTGTTTCCCTCATGGAAAATTCTTGGCCTCCTGTTTGGGAACAAGAGGAGGATGATGAGAGTTCATAGCCAGACAGACAAAATCATGGAAAACATCATAAAACAACGCAGGAAAAGAATGGAAGAAAGCAACAATAATAATTGTGAGGTTGTTGAAGATGAATACCATGTTGATGTCCTCTTAAGATTGATGCATTCTCAGACCCTTCAAGTACCCATCACCCATGACAACATCAAAGCCCTAATCCTCGTACGTACGGAGTATTCTTTTTCCCAACAACCTCCAAGCCTTAGTTTGTAATTTATGATGATTTGTTATTTATTCTTAAGTGTGTTTTGTGTTTGTCTGCTTGCTTAGTTCATGCTAATGTGTTTTCTTTGTTCGTACTAGAGTTGTTATTGTTGTTGCCTTGAAATTATATTTCTCATCATTTCTTTTTTTTTAAAGAATAAATTGTACACATATTGTTCATAATATCTTGTTTAAACAAATTGAGAGATATGCACTGTTTTATGGAGCAGGATATGTTCATTGGAGGAAGTGAGACATCATCAATAATAGTTGTATGGGCCATGTCAGAAATGATGAAGAACCCTAAGGTCTTGGAGAGAGCACAAATGGAGGTGAGAGAAGCCTTTAGATTATCAGGAAAAGATGAAGAAGATGGAGTCCTTGAAGAAAAAGATATTGTAAAGAGGTTACCATACTTAAACTCGGTGGTGAAAGAGACTCTGAGGTGCCACCCCCCGACTCCCTTGTTGCTTCCCAGAGAGTGCATGGAAGAAACCATGGTTAGCGGCAGGTACACCATACCGCGGGGAACCCAAGTGCTGGTTAACGTGTGGGCCATAGCTAGGGATCCCCGCTATTGGGTGGATCCGGAGAGCTTTGTCCCTGAGAGATTTGAAAAAAAATCCATTAGTTTCATGGGAAATAGTTTTGAGTTCTTACCTTTTGGTTCTGGGAGAAGGACATGTCCCGGGATTGAAGCCGGTTTGGCCAATGCTCAATCTGCATTAGCCCACTTACTCTTCCACTTTGATTGGGAGTTCCCTCCTGGAATCACCATTGATTCTTTTGATCTTACAGAGAAGCCTGGGATTGCTGTTGGAAAAAAGAATCAGCTTTTCTTGATTCCAACCCCTCATGTTGTTGCTTAAATGATAAGCTTATCAAGCCTGACTGACCATTTCTGTCATGTACGAATGCTCTCGCCTTTTAGATCGGCTGACTGAGTTGAAAAGATAAAGAAATCCAACGGTCGAGAGGATCTTCACTTGGTCATACACCTGCTTGAGATTTTACACACACTAAACACACACATGCAATTGCTTTACAAAAAGGCGTCCGTTTGCTGTAAGGATGCAATGCACTAGAATCATTCTATGTAAGATGAGAGTGGATGAAGAATATACAGTTTGTGTTGAAAACGAAATGAACAATGCGTTTTTCATGAGTTCTCTATTTTCTTGTACAAGTCATTAAGCGCATAGTACAAGATAGCGGCTGCAGGGGGGCGGGGCATGGATCCCAGAAGAATGGTTGATGCAGTGATTGATGGATCGCCATAAAATCTCGAATTTTCTCGTGTGCGGGTTGTCACCATGCTCCCTTCAAGAGAGCACCCCACAAATGCTCCTACAACCACATTGATATAATATTATGATCTCATGTTTCCTTCACAAGTGGCATATAAAATATATGGAAAATGAAACTTTTATCCCTGAGTTACATCTAGGGTACACTTTTAGGAGTGTTTCTGCCATGGACCTTTAGTCCTTATAACAATGCACAGCCATTCTCACACAAGAAAATTAATAAAATAAATATATGTTTCTTTAAGATTATGAAAATGCTTGTGTATCTATTAAGAAGGTTCGTGAATTTTTAGGTGAACCTAAGAATTTATCCACATTTAGTCCTCGAATAACTAATGTCAACATTCTGGTCCTCGGGTTCTCCCAAAGTGTCCAAGTAGGGGCAATGTCTGCCCTCTACGGACCCTACGCTTTGTGGAATTTTACTGGGTTTGTTGTTGTTATTGGGTTCTCCCAAAGTGGCTATTTTAGTCCTCCCCAACTATGGTTTTGAAGACAAAAAAGGCCACTTCAAGGACTATTAAGTAGAATAGGGTATAACTCAAACACTAAAAGATGAGTGTGAAAAGCGGTGTGTATATATACCTTTACTGAAGCTGTAGGTATAGCACGGTGCACAACCGCCGTCACCGGCACGAAGACCGGCTTCAGCGGCCCTTCCGGCAATGCCTACTGCGGCACTCAAACCTGCACCAAGAGATATGTGACCTTTCCCACTAAAAGTCCTCACTGCACTTTGGGTTCTCAACACAATTATGAAATCTGTCACTTCACCTCCAATCTGATTACAAAAAAAGAACAAACAAGATGTATAAAAAAGGATAGAGTAAATTCCCAAAATAGTCCTTTGTAATAAGGGGTTTTCCCAAATTAGTCCTCAATAAATTTTAATTACCTACGTGGTCCTCTATAATTGAGATTTATTCCCAAAATAGTCCTTTGTAATAAGGTATTTTCCCAAATCAGTCCTCAATAAGTTTTAATTACCTATGTGGTCCTCTATAATTGAGATTTATTTCCAAGATGGTCCTTTGTAAATAATGTTACTCAAATGAGGATTAATTGAGGGTATTTTTTCTCTGTTAAATTTAGAATTAATTCTTAAAATAATCATTTATAATGAAGTGCTTTTCCAAAATGGTTTTTCTAATTAAAGATGTGTATTTGATTTGAAATTTAAAAGATTTTTTTAAGTTTTAAATAATTCATAAATTATTTATGAGTAAATTCTCAAAATGGTCCTTTGTAATAAGGTATTTTCCCAAATCAGTTCTCAAATGAGGATTAATTGGGAGATATTTTGGTATTTTGATCATCCAAATTTAAAGTATATTCTCGAAACAATTATTTCTGTACAACTAAATGTAAAATTTAAAAAATACATTGACTATAAATAATTTATGAATTATTTAAAACTTAAAAAAATCTTTTAAATTTCAAATCAAATACACATCTTTGATTAGAAAAACCATTTTGGGAAAACACTTTATTATAAATGGTTATTTTAAGAATTAATTCTAAATTTCACAGATACAAAATACCCTTAATTAATCCTCGTTTGAGTAAAATATTATTTACGAAAGACCATTTTGGGAATAAATCTCAATTATACAAGACCACATAGGTAATTAAAACTTATTGAGGACTGATTTGGGAAATCACCTTATTATAAAGGACTATTTTGAGAATAAATCCCAATTATAGAGGACCACGTAGGTAATTAAAACTTATTGAGGACTAATTTGGGAAAACCCCTTATTACAAAGGACTATTTTGGGAATTTATTCAAAAGGATAATAAACAAGAAAGGTTAAGAACCCAGCATCAAACCCAGTATAATCCACCAGAAGTAAGGTGTCGGAGAGTGTGTGTACGCTGACCTTACCCAAAGGACCCCCCCCCTCAAACCAGTGTATAAAGAGTTAAACATATGGTGCTTGAATGTACATGATTTTCACCTGAGCCCCCCAACCAAAGCCAAAAGACGAGATGGCAGAAGGAGGAGACCAAGATTTGTCGTCTCTCCTAGCTACCACTATGCCAGTCCCAATGTTGTAGGTAAACATTGCACCAACTTTAGCAACTGTTAGAATAGCAAGTCCTTTTGCTTGTTTGAGAATGGCAGATGGAATGGACTTGTCGGGGTTCATATATCCAACCTGCATTAAGTAAGAAAGATGTGAGACATATACATACATATATATATCCTATTATCAGACTCATTCTTCATAGACTTTCATCTTCTAAGTACCACTGGTGTAATAGAGATTACAGCATTATATATTTTGCAGTATTCTAAATGGCGTTATGCATTATATGACCGTCTAACTTGCACCTAGACCATATACTTAGCTTCCACCTTACTTCGAATCAAATCACTCCACCGCCATTCAACTTTATGCCTACTCCCAAAATCACAACTCACACCCAGCACTCTTTAGCGGCTTCCCTCATGGAGTTAGTAGTTTGCGGCCACATGTTAGTGGCCTCCCCGGAGGACTCCCACACACCTTTCTCTTGCACACGGGCGATCAATTCTGTGATTTTCTCTACGCCCAAACACTCTGAGTATGCCTCAAGTATTGTTGTTAATTATTTATCATATGCCTCTTCCTCAATAAATAGCTGTAAGGTAAAAGTGAGTGTGGGATTGGATATATTTTCAAAGAATAAGTGTTCTTTAGAGGGAGGCAAGTACTTTTACTTCAAAAAGAAGCATTTGGTAAGAAAACGGAAAAATGCTTCCAAGAACATGGAAAATGGAAAAATGCTTCTTGAAAAAAAAAAGAATAAATTTAAAAAATGCACTTATTACTTAAATGATAAAGCACTTAGGAGAAACAAATGCGTACACCATAAGTTATTCCAAATGAGCTTTGGCCTTTGAATTGAAAAGGATGTTTTACCTTATCACATCCCCTCAAGGTATTTGTAGCCTTATATATTTCATATTCCATGGATTGACTCCAAGGGAAATTAAGCCACGATCTCAAAGTGCTTAGATCTGTTAAATCATGGGTTGGAAGCTGCACCGCACGGCTAATTTGGTCTATTAAGAAAGTTTGGATGGGCTCAAGCCGTACATTGCAAACATCACAAACTCTTTGCAGGTTTGAAGTGTGGAATGTTGCTGGCAACAACATCCTTCCTTTAGAACAACCATTGCAAAATATGCCTCCACAAAACCTGCAATGATGTCTCGGCCGCATGATGGGATGGAAACGCAGGTTGCAAAGCATGCATGATGATGCAGCACTATCAGGCAACCATCTTGGTGGCTCCGCCTCAAGGATAACCTGAACATTTCTAAAGTTAGCATCTCTAGGCATACATTTGGATCCAAGAAAATACAAGGGGGGAAAAGAGGAAAGAATAAAAATGTGGGGAAAGTTTGCATCTTTAAAACTGCTAGAAAAAAGAAAACAGTATAGAACATATAAGGAAAATATGGAAGGAAGAAAATGTGGGATGGTGGGGAGGAATAAAATATTAGAGCATGTATAATTTTCAAAAAGATTGACCAAATGGATTTAAATCCTCAAGGATAACCTTAAGATTTCCAAAGTTGGCATCTTTAAGAGTTTGTGCCATCTCTTCCCAAACTTCACTTAGCATATGTTTTGAAACCCATGGACCTATATATCCATGAAAATCAATGGATGCATGAGAACTTATTTTCTCTCGTGCCATAATTAACATGTCACGAAACACTTCCCACATTGTCATCTCCTTATTATCTTGTCCAGTGCATTGATCCCATCCCTTGTCACCCTCTGGGAGGTAGTCCCCTTCCATGTAAAAACCTTTTTGCCATTCTTCAAGATCTCCTTTTGGCATTGGTGGGATAGAGATAGGTATCCAAACACCGGTTTCCTCTGAAAGAGGACTGTCATAATAGAAGTATTTGTTCAGATTTTGATTGCGGAAATCTGTATATCTTTGCTGCTTGTCGTCAAGCTTTGATGGATTCACTTCACCCTTTGATTTAAGGGCGCTATCTTCCAGCATCAAGTCATCAGATGACAAAGAACGCCTGAGTTCTGGATGCTCAAAGAAAGCATCAGAAACCTGAAAGTCGGGTGGAAAATCCAGTGGTTGTAAGCTACACACAAAAAAGTTACTCCCTCCGTTCCAAATTAAATTGCATGTTTAATAATGACAAAGTCAAACTTCATTCACTTTCTTTCCATGTTTTTGTTAGTCATTTGATAAAACAATATAGTCATGTCACCACTAGTTTTGTAGATCTTTTGATGTAGTTTTTAAATATGTAGTTTTTATTTTTTAATTCTACACCGTTTTTTCATATAAAATGATTTGAAAATAACTTCAGTCAAACATCGTTAAGTGAAAAAGGCAATTTAAATTGGGACGGAGGGAGTAGTCAAAAGCAATTACACATATGTTTCAGCTAAACTATATCAACATAAAAAAGTCATTATTGACAATGTTTTAGCTTTGGGTAAATAATGGACTAAATCAAAATGACACATCAAACTTCCTTTCCCTCTTACTTTCTTTGAGATTTTGGGTAGTAAATGTAGCAAAGCATAAGAGTGACAAAAACATCCTCTCTGTTTATCCCAGGGATAAGGTTGTATACATCCCCACACCACCCCACCCCACCCAAAAATAAGGCCCAAACAGAGTTGAGATTATAATAGGATTTGTTGTTTCACTAAAACTTGCATTTGTTTATACATGTGTTCTTCCATGCATGATTAAGCATGGCTTACGTGTAGGACATATTTCTCACAGGAGTCGCCAGTGAACAAAAATGCTAGTAGGAAGAGCTTAAGACTCACACTCTCAAGGCGGACAAAATAATGACATCAACCTTCATACACACAATAAGGCATTGTTTGAACAAGCACTCAATTCCCATGAATTCCATCAAAAACACGTTGCAGTATGCCAGTACTTCAATTCCAGTCATAAATCCAAAAAAAACATAAGCATTACTTACATTGAACGCAACAAATAAACAACAGGCCTAGTTTTCTTTGGAGCTTGAATATAAACTCAAAACTAACAATTTAGTTATAACTTTAATGAATTTACCAGGCTAACAGCATGCCAATATTTTCTTGAGATTTAAAACGAAACAAAAAGTTTAGCATCCCAAGTTAAGAACACATGCCCATTACTTTAAAATGCTTTAGTTACTAATCAGCAAAATAACCTCAATCAGACAATCATCTAAACTAATCAACGAAAGCTCCTTCATGCTTGTAACATTGAAAACAGTATACAGTAAAACTAAATCTAAATTTATCAAATGGAAACCCAACTAAACCTTAAAAATTCCCCCCTTCTTTTTATATCCATATGTGAATTCAAGCTTTTCTTTTATCAAACAATAGGTGTGCATGCAACTTTTTCGTAAAAATCTGAACTTTAAGTTTGACCAACTCTCCAAATTTCCCATAAATTTTAGGTAAAGACGGGCAGCATAAACTTACGTCGTTTGGAGGAAAAACATTGGGTTCCCAATCATCGAATTGATCGAATTTCGGGTATTGCACTTCGGGCGCCATTGACGGCCCTCTGTTTCTTCTCAACTCATCGTCGGATTCATCGGACATCCTGTGTATTTCTTGTTTTGGGGTTTTGGCTAGAGAAAAGTTCTGAGAAACCAAGATAAAGAAGAGTTATTGCGTTCATCGGATTCGTCAGTTGAGGAGATGAGTCCTTGGTGCAAGTTAAGAATTTAAAATCTTCAATAAAATTTGACTTTACAGGGAGTATAGTACTAATACCTCCCTTCCCAGTTTTTGTCCACATTTGACTTTTGGAACTGTTCATCTAAGCACTTTGACTCATCAAATTCTCTCAATTTGTAAGTCTAAATATAGTCATGTGTGATCTTATTTGATTTGTCTTAACATATACTCTCTCAGTAGTAGTAGTCCCTCCGTCCCTAAATAGATTACAATTTTTTCTCTCTCCTCTCGATAACTTTTGTTTGTTTATGTGATTTCATTCAGTATATGATAAAATAAAATATTCTTGTCACCTCTTGTTTTGTAGAACTTTTGACGTAGTTTTTTAATATGTGATTTTTATATCTTATTGATATACCAATTTGTAAATAAAATGATTTCAAAAAGTAGGAAATTTTACTCCGTAACCCGCAATTTGTAATCAAATTGGGGACGGAGGGAGTAGATTATTAATATATACTACCTCCGTCCCACTCTTTTTGTCCAGTTTTGACTTTTGGAACTGTTCATCTAAGCACTTTGACTCATCAAATTCTCTCAATGTGTAAATCTAAAAATAGTCATGTGTGATCTTATTTGATTTGTCTTAATATAGATTATTAATATATAATTTTTATAATTTTTTAATATATAAATTACAAGATAAAATAGATTAAAGAAATGCATTGGATGGTGCGCAAAAATGAAAGTGGACAAAAAGAGTGGCACGGAGAGAGTAATTTCTATAATTTTTTAATATACAAATTACAAGATAAAATGGATTAAAGAAGTGTATTGGATAGTGTGTAAAAATGAAAGTGGACAAATACTCTTAGACGGAGGAAGTATTTTTTTTTAACATGTTTTAAAATTTTATTAAAACTAACAAATAAAGTTTTTAGCTCAATATTGGCCTAGAGAGCGATGTGAGGCCGCTATAAGAACACTAGGCCAGCCACTGCAACCCAATGGTGCCCATTACACACATTCTTAGCATTCATGATAATCTTTTACTCTCTCTCTCTCTCTCGTATTTCGTGACTTGTATTTTTATATTTGATAAATATTTTATAGACTTAGTTCATTATAATAGATTTGGTCTACAATAGTAAATTTAGATTAACTGATTTATCAGTATCAGACAAAAAATTAAAATGTGAGTTTTCTTATGAAGTAGAGAAAGTACATATAAGCTTTTATAATATAATACGTAGTAATATATATAGCTTTTGCTCAATTTGTTTTCATGAAAATAAACATAAGGTAGAGGAGAAACTATATTATCTCTCTTTAATATAGTATTTATCTTTCTTCTTTTTTTATTTATGTTATAAGAGAAGATTATAGTTTATTTAAAAAGGGACTGAAATCTAATAAGTTGTAAACTACTCCATATATAAAGTAATTTGTAGATGGAAGAAGGAAAAAGTGCACATTGCGAGAAACCATAGAGCGTCGATCTAATCACACATTATGAAGGAGTGAGACGATATATTGTGAGAATTTTCTAGACTCGATTCCGGTCCGACCTTGCACGCTTAAGAAAAAGAAGTCCAATTCCAGCCCGCACTTATACCCTGTGGGCTTCGACTCAATCCGGCCCATATAAAAAAATTTAAAATTATTAATAATAATTTTAAAAAGAAATAATATTTTAATATGTGAGATAATTATGATAAATGCATTATCAAATAAACAAGTAAGATATTCAATATGTTTCATACTTTTATGTGATATTTATATACCGTAGTACTATCATTTATTATAAAAATCACAATTAACATGCGATAAGTATTAATAAAATTGTTCTTTTCCTGAAATATACATTATACTTATAATTCTCTTTTATTTACTTGGAAATATGCATGCATGTGTTTATAAGAAAAATTAGATTTTTCATCTATCTCATAATTATCTTCTCACTTTTCTTTTTAAGTTGTTCCAAAACTTATTCTACTTTCCTTTTGAAAAAATAATTGTATGACCAATATTTGTTTTATTTCTTCTATACGAATCATAATCACACATAAAAAATACTCCCTCCGTTCTCTAGTTTTTGTCCACTTTTGACTTTTGGAACTGTTCATCTAAGCACTTTGACTCATCAAATTCTCTCAATGTGTAAGCCTATATATAGTCATGTGTGATCTTATTTGATTTGTCTTAACATATAGATTATTAATATATAATTTTTATAATTTTTTAATATACAAATTACAAGATAAAATGGATCAAAGAAGTGCATTAGATGGTGTGTAAAAATGAAAGTAGACAAATACTCTGGGACGGAGGAAATAATAAGGTAACTCCAAGCATCTGACATCAAGTGCACATCAAGACCAACATAGACATACAGACATTTATTGTTTGTGTGTGCACAGACATTAATGATCTGGATGTATCTATATTAGACTTGGTGGATATTTGATGTCAAAATCTTAGGGTTTGGCTAATATTTGTTTTTATATACTCCATATAACAAATTTAATTGGAGAGAAAAAAACCAAAATCTACCGAAAAAAACAATTTTAGGAAAAAGTATGGCCGCTACTTTTCTTCTTTTTCACAAATCACTTATCCAGACTTGGTTTCTAATAAGTACTCCGTATATGGTTTTATTAAACGCAGTAATTAGTGATTAGCAATTCTGCAAATTTCAATTGGTTGAAATCCAAAATCATACTAAAAAATCTGCAAATATATAATCTCAGATTTTCCTTTGAGTTCTTAGAACCAATTGCGAAATCGCGAATCGGACGTCCGAGAAGAAAGAACAGGGCGAACAGAGTGAAGAGCGGCAGTTGAATCCCAACCGTACATCGCGAGGACGACGATTTCCCAAAGTCAATCCGACCCGTTCATGATCCACAATCCCGAAATTCGCATTCATCATCATCATCGGCGGCGAAGAGCCAGTGGAATTCGCCCGGCGATGTTTCTGTTGTGAAGAAAGGAGGAGCTCCGGAATCGAAGCAGACGGCGGAGTTGAGAGCTTCGGATTGGCGGCGTTGCGAGGACGATGAACAGCACATCTGGGAGTAACGGTTTGATGGCGGCGTCGGCGGCTTCTTCGTCGTCTGCATCGGGGAGCAACGCGCAATCGCCTGGCCTGAAGACGCATTTCAAGACCCCGGAAGGGAGGTATAAGCTTCAGTACGAGAAGACTTACCCTGCCGGCCTTCTTCACTATGGCCATGGCAAGACCGTTACTCAGGTTCTCCATAGCATTCACACTTGAATTTCTTTTTTATACAGTTTATTTCAGGGTTTTGCTGTCTTCTTCTTCTTAGTGCGAATTTATTCTGTTAGTAACAAGGAGATTATTTGGCTTTGGAGGCTTTGTAAGGTTTGATTTTGGGCTAGATTTCGCAACCGGGATTCATAGTTTTCTGGTTCGCTTCTTTTTTGTTTTCTGAGAATATATAAAAATTTATTATAATCTAATGATAATTATATTAATATTAATAACTAGGCAATGATTTTTTTAATCCCACCGTGCAAGTTCCAATAGGAAATTGAATGCCTGGGATTTTCTTTTGGATAACTTTTCGCATTAACTGTGATATCCAGGTGACCCTAGCTCATATCAAAGAGAAGCAAATGCAGCCACAGCCACAGTCATCAACTACTTCTGGGACAAATAGTAGTGTTAGGTCTGCAGCAGCAAGGCTGTTATTGGGTGGGGGAAATGGGAGTAAGGCACTTAGTTTTAGTGGGTCCAATGGCGGAGGTAAGTCGGTTGCTGGAATGAGTACTAGAATCGGATCGTTAGGAACTTCAAGCTCAAATCACTCTGCGGGTAATTCTAATTTTGATGGGAAGGGAGATTACTTGGTGTTCAATGTGGGTGATGCAATATTTATCAGTGATTTGAATTCCCGTGATAAGGTTTGGTTTTCTTCTGTAGTTCACCATCCTGACATGGATTTGATTAATATGATGAATTTTGAGCAACTTTATTTGGATTGTAGGAGCCTATAAAATCTATACATTTCAGTAATTCAAACCCTGTCTGCCATGCATTTGATCCAGAAGCTAAGGATGGTCAGGATCTCCTTATTGGTTTAATATCTGGGGACGGTGAGCAAAATACTGCCCCTCCTCAAGGTGGAATTTAATTAAGTATATCCATCTTTGAATTAATTGTTATTTTATGTATTGTAGTTTATTTAGCGTCTTTGAGGCAGCAATTGCAAGACATTGGAAAGAAGCTTGTTGGAACACATCATTTTAACAAAGATGGCACTGTTAACAACACGTAAATGCCTAACTCAAAGCCCCTCTCCTCCCAACTCATTCCCAGATCTGATAATCTATGCATTTAGTCTGGTTTTGTTGTTACATTGTATTTTCCTGAAACACTTAGTTTTTATTGCCACAACTATGCTTTTGAGTTTGAAACTTTGAATAGTATGTGGTTGAGATTTTTAGGCACCATTTATTAACAACTGTATTTAAATCCTGGTAAATTGATCTTGCTCTAGCCTCTATGGGATTAAGTTTTATTGCCAAATATAGCATCCATACATTTCTTTTTCATTTTAAAAAATCACATGAAAGAGCTTGTGCACTCTTATTTATAATTTTTTGTGATTTTCTTTCTTATTAATAAGTTGTAGACACTATGGAGTGTAATTTTTTTCTCAAAGATTGTGCCTTTTATCTCAAGATATGGAATATTAGAGTTTTTTGTAATCTGACGGAGTGTTTTAATTAATGGCATTGCTTCCAAATTCTAATACACATCTTGCAATTACTGTTTATTTAATTTAAAAAGATTAAACAGGTTGCATATAGGAAGATAAGTGTCAGTTATACTTTAAATTCCTAAAACATCAATTATTTTGGTACAAAATTGTAAGGCTAAACCAACATATTTTGGGACGGAGGGAGTAAATATTTTATTTGCCTACAACAGCCGATGTACTAGTATTGCGTGGGTGCCTAATGGTGATGGCGCTTTTGTTGTTGCTCATGCGGACGGAAACTTTTATGTCTATGACAAGGCAAGTCTTGGTGATCTTAAGAGGTTAAATTGTACAGTATCATTTAGTAATTAACATCTCAAATTTATTTTGACATCAGATACATTAACTCTTTGTTCGTTTTCCAGAGTAAGGATAGTTCAAGCGATTCTTCATTTCCAGTCATTAAGGATCATACTCAGTTTTCAGTGGCACATGCACGACACAGTAAGGTATCAGGGTGCAAGATCTTAGAGCACATATTTATGGATTATTTTAGGCTGTTCATTTGTGTTATTGCACATGCATTTTTAAAACGATTTGTCATATTTTTATACAGAATCCTGTTGCTAGATGGCATATATTTCAAGGTTCAATAAATAGCATTGCTTTCTCGACCGATGGGGCATACATTGCAACTGTAGGGAGGGATGGTATTGTCTTTCTTGAATAAGATTAAACTCCCTTTGTCCTAAAAAAAATAATTATGTTTCAAAACTTTTATGTCCCAAAAGAGTCATATTTCAACAAATGAAGTTACTTTTTGTTTGAGTTTTGTGTAAATTTTCAAAAAATTGCAAAATAATACAAATGTAAAATCTAGGCAAAAAAACAAGTAATTTTAAAATTATAAGGTGGATTGATAATTTATAAGAGATGTACCTTGCCAAATTCTAAAAGGTGTACCTTGATGAAATATGACTCTTATGTTGGGACAGAGGTAGTAATAGTTTTGTGTATCGTTCTTTTTCTGTTGTGTCCCATAAATTTTATACTTCCTCCGTCACATAAAAAGCTTCCACATTTGACATGACATGAAGATTAAGAGAAGTGAAATTGTATGATTGAAAGCGGTGCGGAAGAGAGAGAAATTATATGGGCCACAAAAAATTTTCCAAAAGTAGAGAGTGGAACCTTTTTATGGGACTGGCGAAAAAGAAAATGTGGAGCCTTTTATGGGACGGAGGGATTACGAGCTAAAAGATGACAAATGAATGCAGGTTACTTGAGAGTATTCGACTATAGAAATGAGCAACTTGTATGTGGTGGAAAAAGCTATTATGGTGCATTATTATGTTGTGCCTGGAGGTAAGAATTGCAGTTTTTTAAATGTTAGAATAGACATATGACAATGAGCTTTTATGGGTTTACCTTTCCTTTAAAAATATACTCCTTTTAAATTGAGGATAGTGGACAAGACTTTATTTTTTCTGACGGAAGGACTTTTTGCATAAATATTTATAATGATTTCCAATTGAAGAAAATTGCAACTTATAGTAATACAATGAACAGCATGGATGGTAAATATATCTTAACTGGTGGAGAGGATGACTTGGTGCATGTTTGGAGTATGGATGAGCGCAAGGTTGTAGCGTGGGGAGAGGGACACAATTCATGGGTAAGTTTTTTTGAGCAGACCACATGGCATCTCTTCCTGTACCATTGTCTCTAGCAATCGTTGATGCTTTACTCTATTAACTCATGGCCTACAGGTGAGTGGCGTGGCATTTGATTCTTATTGGTCAGCACCCAATCCAGATTGCTCAGGTGAAAATATAGTCTACCGGTTTGGTTCTGTTGGCCAGGTAGTGTTTCTATTCACTATCTTGCTTTTATGCCACATGAAACCATATTTTATTTGTTTCTCTCACTTCGTTTGAAATCTATTAATTTTGAAAACTAATCGTCCATGAACGGAATCATGGATGCAAATTATTGGAAATTAATTATAGTGACATAGTTATTTTCTGATATTCCTGGATGACGTGCCTTCTTTATCTCATTATATCATGATGTCTAATCCCTTGTTATCAGTGGAATGCCCTCAATCTTCAGATAATAATAAGCTGCTTTAAAAAGATTAATTAACAGACCATAAGGTCAATATGGTTTAGCATCGAAGATTAATATCCACCATGGATTATTATATAAGGCTCCCTAGTAGTCTAGCTAAACCACTTGCCTTTCCTGTCTCTTTAACCTCTCTGAGGTTCACCTTATTCACTTTTTCACGACTAGGTAATTTTTTTGGTGTTTGGTGCTCGTTAAGTAGTTGGAATTTTTTTGGTTTTGAGCTTTATTGACCATATTTTCTGCATACTACACTTGGGAAGGGATTGCTCACCCGGGTTTGATTCCCCAAGGAAGCATTGGGAATGGATTTTTAAGGGTGTTTTAAAGGGAATAGTTTGGGCCATAAAAAATGAAGGGTTTAAGTGGGCATTATGATCACCAAGGTTAACGGGCCTTGGCTCCAAGGGTTGTAGTGGGCTTAGTTTGGGTTGTACTTCCACACACCCTCCACAGAATATTTTTTGTGGGATTCAACTTGGTTGTGTTGCTGAATCTGTAGCTAATATAAAACGTAATACACAAGTTACTTTTTGGCTGAAATTGATGGGATGAGGACAAATAATCCTTACATTTTTTAAAAAAAGTAATGCACAAGTTACATTTTGGATCATTCAACCTATTAATCAAATTCAGTGTTTTCAGCCATATCGGCTGCTCTTCACCTTACCAAATGAGCTCTGAAGCAATCTGCTTAATCATTTTTTGTATCAAACGTTTTTCTACTAAGTGGTCATACTTCAAAGATGATGGCGATTTGCCTTGAAAACCCCCTTAATGTTTTGCATCGATTATTGCCCCAAACAGGACACACAATTGCTTCTATGGGATTTGGAAATGGACGAGATTGTGGTCCCGATACGTCGTCTGTCTGGTGGATCTCCAACTTTCAGCACTGGAAGCCAGTCAGCTCACTGGGACACGGCGGGCCCCACGGGCACATTGCAACCCGCTCCGAGCATGCGGGATGTCCCAAAGCTGTCACCTTTGGTTGCCCATCATGCTCACACTGAACCACTTTCTGGTCTGGCATTCACCCCTGAATCTGTTCTGTCCGTTTGCAGAGAAGGGCACATCAAGGTTTGGAGGAGACCGGGAATCGGCGAAAGCCCAACTAGTAACTCATCTGATTCTTTATTGTCAAGTACTAAACAACCGATATCAAGTAAGTCTGGAAATTCGAGCTTCAAACAGTGACCGTGTATGACATTGAGCTCCTCTCGTGTAAATGGGTAACCCGTGGTCCCTTGTATCATAGAGCTTGTTATCAGGGACAACATCGTTTCAAACGAGAATGTGGGCCCAGCACCCAACCACCTTGTAAGTATGAAAAGGTTGTCAAAAGGAATCATAAATTTAGGAGCAAGAGAACCATAAAAGGGAAAAAACATCAGAAAAAGGGGTCAAGTTCTAAGGTTTGTTCCTTGCTTTCGTTTCTTGTTTCTCTGCTCTATCCGGTTTTTGACAGAAATGGTTTTGCTGACAAGCAGTTCTCGATCCAGCATCGTCGTGGGAATTGTGTTTTCTTAGGATGATAGAATACTATTCATCTGGGTTTTATTGTGGTTGTTGGCTAGATGAGATTATTATAGTACTTATTAGATTTTGCATTTTAGGTTACTATATTTATAGTATATGGAATATACTGATTTTATTTGTTTAATGGGCATATCAAATATACAAGGCTCATTAGTGTTCTTCCCAGCGCAAATCATTTCTCTTTTCCTTTCTTTTTTTTCTTGTGGTTTAAAGGCTCATTAGTTCTTTTTTTATTTTATTTGGTAGAGAACTTGAACTCTCATTTGGTTGTTGGAACTGAATTACTATGTGGTGTTTCTTTGTCCTCATAAGCTGTTCAAAATTGTTTATAAGTAGGTCTTACCTACTTTTTTAAGTTAAGTTTTTTATTTTTTCCTTTTGACCAAATTATTTACAAAAAATATTTCCAAATTATTTATTATTATTATTTAAGTTATTTAGTTTTATGAAAGAGTAGTTCATTTATAAGTAATTTATAAGATAAAAATTATTTATCAACAATAAGTTAATGAATATTATTAGAAGATGCATATTTTAAAGTTACGTATTGTTTAATGAAAGAAAATAGAGTGCACAATTATTCTAGTCAATCCTTTAAAATGTTGGTTAGAATACATTTCAAAAAAATATGGTTAACAAGATTTTCAAAATAACAAATGAAATTATGAATTAATTAATTTAATATTAAGATAATTTACGTGATTCTATAGTCACGCTATAAGGTAACTACAATATATATCTAAAACATAATTTTTCAATAAATCTCAACTTTTTATTTTATTGAGAGAATGATAATAACAGTATATAATATAAATCTAACTAATTATTTTAAGTCATTGTTGGAAAAAATTAGAATAAGTTTGAAAAAATTGGAAGTAATTGAAAAAATTAAAAGGAATTGAAGGAAATCAGAAACAAGGCATGTACAATAAATACCACTTACTATTTTACATAAAAGAAAGCATGCAATATAATTTTGGACATATAAAAAAACATGGAAATTAAAATGAAACAAAGGAAGTACAAAAGCAAACAAACCAATTAAACCGGCCAAGAGGGAAAGAACACAAACAGGGAACCATTAAAACCCCTATGGCCTATGAAGTGTGATACGTTCACAATATCAAGAGGTATTAACACATGTTCAAACCATTAAACCATGTACATACACACAATAAGACATATTGACATGATAAGAAAAATGCACAAATTAGAGAAGAAACCCTTTGGTCTTAATTGCCATCAACAAGTCCAGAACTGCCGCTTTCAAGATCTGTTTGTTGCAGATCATTTTGGGACGGAGGAAGAAGATCACCGGTTCCTGGAGTTTGGGATGGTTGCTCATCATTCGCGCTATTACTTTGTGTTGCCATCCGGTCCATAAGCACAGTGATGATCAATATGCCACACATTGGAATGGCAAAGCCAAACAAAATGGACACAGTGATCGCGACAAACGCGTCACAGTTGAGCTGCAACAGAGGAAAAGTGATCACAAATATATGCCCAAAGGGTCAGATCTTGAAGTCGTAAGTCATGTCTAATCACCTCTTTCTGATTGATAAGAATGATATATAGAGAGTATTTCTCTGTGATGGTGCTTGATAAGCAGTTTTTAACACGTAAGCTGCTTGTAAGCCAAATATTCTTTTGTGGAAATAAAAAGATTTAAATGATAGATAACTGATTTGGGAATGTTCATAAATGACGAGGGATAGTTTTGTAAATAATCTGGTCAAAGCGAAGAAATAAACAATCTGGCTTAAAAATAAGAGATTTTCTGAAGCAACTTATAAGCACAGAGAAACATGCCACCAGTTGGCTAAGTTATAAACAATTTTGACCAACTTATAAGCACGGAGAAACACCCATATAATAAGAAAGCGCACGCTATCTATTACCGAACAAAAACCAATAAACAGTATATCATACCAACAAGTAGAGAGCATGTCCAAACAGAGCCACCGACACGAACTGGACTAGTGCATAAACCCAAGTGTATTTTCTGGCTGAACACATAAGTAGTAGAATCATAGTGTTTTTCATTCTGCAAGGAAAACTATGAGAAACCAATGCTATCTATCGTCACAAGTGCGCGAACGTAAAAGTCATAAAAAATTTGAATACCCATTGTATATGCTATCATGTGTGCGAAGAGCCCCAACACGAGAGAAAATGCAAATGTTTTGTCCACAGAATGTGGCCCCCTCTTGTTCTGCAGATAGTTAACCGGAATGTTTAGGGGAAATGTTAACCAGAAAACTTTCATAGTAGGGGAAGGTCTGCGTACACGCACTGACTGGCCCCTGACTTTTGTGGGATTTTACTGTGAAAGATACAAATGTAACTTGTGAAAGATGACAGTCCTTTTTTTGTTTATCTTACCAGAAGCTCCACCATCAAAATAAAGTAGCCAATTATGCTGCAAAAGAGAAGCACTGGAAAATCCTTCCAAATCCTAGAGAAATTATGCAACACTTCTCAAGTGAGTTGTTACTCAGCTAAATAAACTTGGCACGAAAATTGATTTGCAAAATGAAAAATTTCCACTTTTGGTGCATGCCTGTGGATTTCTTTTCACCAATGGTCCTTTCTGGTCACTTATTTGACAAACAACAACAACCGAGTTGGATCCCACGCCTTATTTGGCAAACATTGACCCAAATTGCACAAAATTGCTCGGATGAGTGATTGGAAAGACCAAATTAAAATTGAGAAACAACCCACCGTCACTCACCAAAAGAACAAAAGTTGGCAACCAAAAGTAGATGGTTTTTTAGCAAATAAAAATACCACTCAATAGATCGTGCATTCTTATCTTTTACCAAGCATCATTATTTTCCAGTTAAGGTCTGAGAAATATTTTAGACTTTAACACGCTCCCACACATACGAGCAAGATTCATTTTTTGACGTATATTTTCATGTGAACATTAATTTTTAAAAAAAGGGTAGTGGTTAGGTTCGAACTCATGACATCTAGATTAGAAAGACTCTAATACCATGTTTAGGAACCAACGCAACCAAAAGCGCAAAATTGTGCTTGCACTTTCCAGCCTTAATAAGAGAAACAAAACTGAAGTATAATTAACTTACCAGAGTGGATGAAATTCAGCACGAACAGCGGCATTGCCATGAAGATTGTTTTGAACACGCAAAAGCCTAACAGATAAATTTTGAACCTCTGTCCTACAGATATCACAGATTTTGTTGCCTTTTAAAGTAAACCATTTTACAGCACACTCTTTGTGGGCCAATGCAAGTTCGCCTTTGCAACTGCATTCCATCTTAAGAGTGTTTGACCCCTCTCCAAGCTCAATCAAGCATATTCTGCAAACCGCTTCTTCTGTGACATCTTCTGAACATCAAGACAAGGGTTATAGGCAGCAGTGAAATTATGGTAAACTCCACATCTTTTATAATATATTTTCATTGTTCATTTGTTAAAAGAAAATAGTCAGTCCACTTACCGGTTTCTTGTTTTGTAGAACTTTTACGGAAAACCTATATGTAAAGATAAATTTGGGAGGGAGGGAGGGAGTAATATTTACCTCCACCAACAGATGGAGCAGCATCTGATATGGGAAGAGTATTGTCTGTGATTTGAGTGGCAGAGGGAATAACATGATATAGCACCTTTCCATTAGCCATGCTTGTGAGGCTCCCGCCCTCCTTTAAGTTAGGTAGTGAATATGATCGATGTAGTTTGCACGCATTCTCCTCTGTCTACAAAATAATATATGCATTGGACCTTGTTTTGTTGGCGTGATACTTATTTTATGTATTCATTCTTTACATTAAATCTGGTTAAAAATGAAGTGAAGAATGAAGATGCAAGTATACACAGAAATGCATGATTGAACTAAACAAATACATAGTAGTTGTTTCTAGCGTGAGACTTAGAAATAGGATGAATTAGTAAAACAAAAATAAATCCTTTCCACCCCTCCAAAATCCCCCAACCAAACAAGCCATTAAGCATCTAGCTTAGATCAATTTAATAAAAGCATTTAAATATTTTTAAAGACAAGATGCTTACCAGAAACAAAGAAAAATTAAATGAAGCTACAAATTTAATTGAAGCATACAACAACAACAAACCCACTAAAATCACACAAATAATAGGGAAATTTAAGCGAAGCATCTCAAAGAAAAATGAAGAAAAAAAACCAATGTAAGCATGGCTAACAAACAAAGGCTTGACCTCTCACAGCCAGATTCTTATATTTCTAGCACATAAGAGTCTCCCACAAACTAGATTTAGTTTCACAGACATGTTTTTGCAGCTCAAATCAATTGAGGAAGCTTAGAATTTGGGAACTTACAGCAGAACTGGGACTTGAGAAGGCAATTGAATTCATAGGCTCTGAGAATGTTCTTTCAACCTTTGGGTTGAAAACTTCTGTTGTCAATATCGTTGTCATCAAAGTTGTAGCTTCTTCAATCTCTGCCATTGCATTTTGCAATGGTAACTTAGGAAAATGGGTATCCATAGATGATTTACCACTAAAGACCACTCCCACTTGAATTGGTGAGAGGGGTAATTCTCTTCTCACAGAATCCTCCATTGTTACTTCAGGTATCTCTACAATCAAATTTTCCCCCTTTGTTGATATAGACACAGACATAATGACTCCTTTTTATTTTTCATTCAAAACACACACTAAAGCACATCGATGCACTTGCTATAGGGGCATTATATATACATCGATAATCGTCTCCTTTGGTGAGCTCAACACGTAGCACCATAAATACATGCCAAGTTGACACGCGGATAATATATAAATATATAGCGTGGCCAAGCAATCCACAGATTCTCTGTAAAAGCACATTTCCCATTTGCTTGTCATATACGCCTTTGTTGAGAAATGCTTTTCCGCCTAATAAGGCCTTTACATACATGACACTTTGGGAAACAGAAATTCTCAAAAATAGCGTGAAATGGAGATTCCGTGGATTCAATGAAGATGCAACAGACAAGATAAAGCAATATAACCAGGGGCTTCACTGTGAATACTTTCCAAACGATGTCATAGAAAATCATGAAATAATGATATTGGTGTGTGTAGATAAGAACTTTCACTCACATTAGGCTCAATCCTAATGCTATGAACAGAATTAATTTTACAGCATTGAAATTCATTGAAATCACCACTCATTTAGGAATTATCATTATTATCATATATCCTTTTTTAGCATCTTGACATCAAAGGAATTACGATTTTATGGAACAATGAATCAATACACCCATACACATACACATACACACACACATACAAATACACATACACAGACACACACACACACACATACACAAACGTTGTATATAATATGTCAACAGTTACACCAGTTCTTTATTACACTACTTGTTACACCAGTCATTATCTTCCAAATCAGGTTATTTTCACTGAAAACCGACCGTATGATTGCAATTTAGTAACACATAGATCACCATTGTAAACTTCCAGAATATGTGTGTGTGTCTGTGTGTACACGGAGTATATATTAGATTTATTTCCTTCGTTGTTCCTTTATATACCCAAAAAAAAAGCCAAAGTCTTAATACAAATCCAATTAGTGGTAGCCATATGAAAGCACAAAATAATGAAATTGGGGCATGCACAACCAAAGCACTCCTGAGAACATTTCACAATTACACCATTGAGCCTCAATTCCAAATCAGTAAAGTAAGGTATGTGAACAGAGGCGCCTTTTGGGTTGATTTACAACTACAACCCATTAAAATCACACAGATTTTACCACTACTCGAAAGTAGAGAGGTAGTCAAAGTTAAATCACATTCGAAATGATGAAAATTTGTCCAAGCTTAACCACATGGGTGGGAAAATTCCCCAATTTCATTTATCAAAGCGAAACACAGTTGAAGAAGAAGAAGAATAGTTCTGAAACATGGAAACCAAAGCAACAAAATTGCAGGCAGATTCCATACATGCCATGATTATCATTAACGCAGATATAGATGGTAAGAATTAAAACAAGAACACCCGGAAAAACTGAAGTGATTAAATTAAGAAAAAATCAACCACAATATATAGTTATTCAAATGGAAAGATTTCCTCAAGAGAGAATGTGTGTGTGTGAGGCATTGAGAATGGAGAACTGAATAGTAGTAGTTCAAGTGATGGGTGCATTCTTTCGCCCAAAGACTCCTCTTTTTCTTCTTCTGCTGCAGTTTACAGAAATCCAATAGCAAGAAAATGAATCAGATGCCAGAACAAGAAACCCCCAAATTGATTATGGCACACAGATATTCAAATCCCATGGAGGCCGATTTTTGGCTAGACACTTGGATTTAGGGTTGGGGTGATTATAATTTTTTTTAATGAAAAAACAAAAATATTAAGGAGTATTAAAACACGGTGATAATGTAATTAGGGACTAACTAAAATTGAATGTAAAATCTCCCTCGCAAAATGTTCGTCATAAAGTACAATGATTAAAGACATAAAATAAATAAGTGGTTATAAGTTAATTTTTATTTTTTAAAATTGTAAAAAATATGTACTTCACAATATCTCTATTTTCTCTAATTATATTTTATCCATTCATTTTTTATTTTTCAACATTTCTTTTAAATCTTAAAGTCAAATTAAGACGATTAATTTAAAACGAGAAAATATCCATAATCTAATTATCAAAAACAAAATTTTGTTCATTAGATTTTAGGTAAAACTATTAAAGCATTGAGACCTTAAGCACTAGACATTTGAGCACCTTTATGATAACAATTTCAATGTTTGACTTTAATATTTTTAAAAATTATTTTATTGTCATCTTTTTTTAGCCGAAACAACATTTTCAAATTTAAAGTGCATCGCTAAAATTTTAATTAAACTAACATCAATTAAAAATATTGTTTTTAAGTAAGACATCAATATCCAAACTCTTTCCAAATGTTAAATTACGCCGTATAAATTTTCAGGTTGCGAACTCTAATCACCATTAGGCTTCATTTTAATTACGGAGTAAAAATTATTAAGACTAAAAAATTGAATTGACCTTAAATACTCTTTTAGTTTACCACCTGTGTGAAAGTAAAAAATGTCCATCGGGAAATGTCGTTAATAACCCGCCGTCGGTCATGCTCTCCGGAATGACCCGACCCGAATCGAATCGGAATCACCGACGTCGGGAAAGTGAGAAAGAGAAGATGGGCAGAAGAAAGCAGGTGGTAGTCTCGATCGGGCTGGGGATGTCTATGGCGATCGGCTTAGCTGTCTACTTGCGCCTTTGGACCATCGACTACCGCATCTCTTCCGACGAGACCGAACTGATCAGGTTCGTTCCTAGCATATTTATCTCGTACTGTACTATTTCCTGCGAAATTAGGGTTTGCGATCGAAGATCGTTTGACCAATTGCTGCTCAGAACAGTGCATATTGCTTCACTTGGTCTGTGGATAGAATCAATCATGGATGTTTGAAATTCTGGTTTGTTGTATCAGGAACTCAACAGCGTTCTTTTGGCCTCTTCTGTGTTCTGTTATTATTGCTTCTTCGTCTTTGCTCTGAGTACTAGAAAATGTGATACATTTCTGTGCAGAGATGGCTTTCTTTCGTCGTACGAATTGATGGGTTTTGATTTTCTTCTTTTCCATCCGAACTGGCGTTTAGTGTTATCATCCATGATATATGCAGTCTAGAAAACAGCTTGAAGTGCTGAATTAGTATTGAGGATGACGATACAAATATATACTTTTACCAGTCCCATATCAGTAGTGGTACTCAAGTTCGCGCAAATCTTCACGGTGAAGTATCTTCATGGTGAAGTGAGTGTTTTACTTGGTATCATAATATGTGAAGTTATCGTATACCAAATTATCAATATGAGCAAAGATGGCAGCTTCTTTAAGTGCTACTTTGATGTTCAAATGATAAAATCAATATGTCGAATTGTCAAAGCTTCAACTGAATCTGAACTAGTGTTGATTGGAACATAGAGAAAAGAAAGATCATCCAAGCCTAGAAAGATGACCATGGTCGGAAAATAGTCAAAATACTAGTTGATATATACTCGGAAACTTCAAACATCATACCATGGTTTTTTTTCATTTACATGTCTCTGAAAAAATCAAGTTGAATGATGACATTGTGATTGTGGTCTCCTTTGATTTCATTTTAGGAGACAGTTTGATCTTGCTAATAGAGAAGCAATGGATGAATCTGCATATTGGAGGGGTAGATATGATGAAGAGGCAGAGAAGGTTAACAACTGCCAAAAGCAGCTACTTCAAGTAAGTGCTGGTGTTTTTTACACTATACAAACTACTAGATCTATTACTATATCTTTGTGTGTGTGTGTGTGTGTGTGGGATTCAATAACAAGTTTTGGTGCAAAATAAGAAGCCTAGTTTTGGAAAGGGGAGTAGCAAACCATTGTGCTATACCCTAAGAACGTTTGGTCCTTGGAACCTAAGATTACCTTGTGTAAAAGGAAAATATGGTGTTTGGTTATTGAAANATCCCCCCCCCCCCCCACACACACCCAAAAAAAGTGTGTATGGTTAATGTACAACGGGTTCAGTCTAGAAGGGTATAACTGTTAGAATTTATGAAATCATATTTATATTTTTAAAATTTATAAGTTCATCTAACAAAATGTATTATAATGAACTTTATTGTAACCTTTTTTGCCTACTTATTGAAAATCACATGAAATGTTAGATTCATCTGATGTAATATGAGTATATGACTCTTATTTGGGATAAAGAAGCTTTTGAAACATGTATCCATTTGTCCTGAGATAGAGTTCTACTTATGTCATTAAATAACCAACCTGTCCCTTCCATCCTCATGTTCCCACCTCCAAATACGAACTTGTACCATGCGTGAAGGTAAAATACTAAAACCATACTATCACAATGACCTGAAAGCCCTAGCCAAATAATGTGTGAGATTACCTAAACTGAAAATGGGGTACCAAGTGCAAAGCTTCCACAACAAGTTGTGAAGAAGCTTGGGAACGTAGCTTAGGTAGTAAAAGAGTGGAAAAGAGGGGTGATGTCCAAATTTGACTTCTATCAACAGCTATAAAGGACAACCTATATACTGTATGGAGCTCCTGCACGTGGCAAAGAGAGACAGATATGACTCCTTATTTGTAAGACTAAAGATCATTGCTCAACTAACCTCCTTCCATGTAATTGTCCGGCTTGTCATGACACTGAGGACGGAGTACATCTTTCTTTAGTGAAATCCGGGCAGGGGATAATCTAGGAAAGATCATACTAGCCACGTGGCTTTCACATAAAGTTTTTTAATTATTCAATGATTTTGTCTCTCAATTTGTTTTAAATCTGTTGGTAAATGTTGTTGGTGCAAAGATCAAGCAGATGTTTGCTTCGGATGATGTTGGGGTGGATAGCAAATTAGAGTCATTACAAAAGGTATGTAACTAATGCCATGCCACTTGAGATCTCGATAGGATGATCTTAGTAGTATGTGATTTTTTTCGACACAATTTGCAATTGATTGTTCTTGTTCACCAAATACCAGGAAAACAGGGACTTGCTTGAAAAGATCAAAGATTTGAAACGGGCCCTTGCTTCTGAGAAGTTGAAATGCAGCAGGATAAAACCTTGAGCGAGTTTGCCATTGAAGGAGAAAACCTGGTTTAATGCTTATAGTTTGTTTTTTTTCTTGCAAACTGTTTTGAGATCAAACTGGGTTGTTATTGTTGTTTGCACCTAAAAGACAAGCAGTGAGTAAATAGCTATTGCATTGAGTTTATAGGGAGTATGATTTTATATATTTGATGGACTTATTCAAAAATTGCTTGTCTGAATCATATATATTTGAGTTTATATATTTGATGGACTTATTTGATGGACCAGCAAAAATTTTTGAATAGGTAGGCTCACTATTTACTTACTAGAGCCTACCTCGTTCCTCACTTAATTGACTTTCTAAGTAATTGAAAATGTCTCACTATTGAGTGTTGGAAAATAAGAGAGAGCGCCATTGATCGAACATAACCCACATACATGGGATTATACATTCGATTCAACCCGGGCAAGGGCAGGCCGAATTTTAAAACACTGCCCAATATTCAAAAGGAGAAACGGAATGGATCAAACAACTTCAATGTCAATACACATTCAATACACATATGGCAATAAATGTTTCAGACAAACTCTAGAGAGGAAAATACATTGAAAGTAATATTGGTCACATTATAGTTGCTCTTTCAAACTTGTGTTGGATACAACAGCCTCTGCAAAACATCCAAAGTCCTCTTCCACATCTGTCCCCGGCTTCTCATTCTACCTCATGTGAAGAAAATTCAAAGACCTTTTCAGGCACAAAACATATATACTCCGGCCGTATATTAAGAACTTCCAATTTTATTCGAATTCTTGCTTTTGTGATGCAAAATTACTAATATGTATGCATTTTTTTCAACAAAAAAAAGAGAAGAATATTTAGAAAATGATACAAGAGGGTATTTACACAAAAATGTGGGATTCTTTTTGGAAATGTATAGCAATGCGCTCTTCTAAGTTCTAACAACTCCATATTGGAGGTGGTAGAACTTTTAACTGGGGTGCTACCGTGATTTTGTCTCCCATAGTGTAACATATTCATCAGGCAGGTGATAAAATGATAAGCACACATTCATTACCAAATGAGTATGTGAATGTCACCAGATAATTGCTTAGCACTGAACTTACAAAGTGTGGTGTGAACTAAATTAATTCTTGAGAATGTCAAATACATGAAATTGGAACAAAACATGTAGGGAGGCATTGAGGGCATACGCTATCTAGCATCATTGTGTATAATTGAGATTAAATGGACATATCAAGCTTACCTCGTACCTAGTAATCTGAAAATCATGGTTGACGGCTGACAATTTCAGAACTGTCTGGGGCGGGATTCAGCAACACTTACACGGATTGGTCGGCCATTTAGGTCCTAAACAAAAGTCACAAATTAATAATGAATGCAAATAGGGAACAATAAAATTTCCATTTAATAAGCTTAAAAAGTGTGATCAGAATATGGAGATTAAAAGAAATTAACTCAGCATAGTTGAAAATAGTTTTTTTAATGCAAGGTTTGAGATCAAACAAACACAGAAAGTGAAGAATATTCAAACATCAAAGATCGTTGCAGAAAAAATTGTGGTTATGAGAAATGATTTAACAATTGGATTGGATTAGGATACAATGCACAGGGAAGTTAAGAATTTTGCTGCATGGCTGAAAACAATGAACTCGTGCAGATTACATAAATAAGCAAAATAATGCAGTCCATAAGGCCTTGTTTGGTTAGGCATTCAATTCATATGAATTTACTTATTCACAAGGGTATCTTGTTGAAGACTTTGAATCATTATTCCTAGGATTTCTAAGTTCAAGAAATTAGAGGGGTCAAATGCCTCAATTATACCATGCATTTATAGCTCAATTACTGGAAAATAGGTTAGTTTCATGCAAATCCAAGCGTGTTTATTTTATCTAATCCCAACCACAAAGTCAATCCAAACAAGGCCTTGATTCATGCAATCATGTTTGAAAATAAAAAAAACTTACAGCTCCATCCAATGACTCGATAGCATTGTTGACCTCCTCTGCGGAAGTGTAAGTAACAAACCCAAATCCCTTTGATCTCCCACTTTCTCTGTCATACACAACTCTGGCTTCTTTCACCTTCCCTTGCTCACTGAACAAGTTTTCAAGTGCTTCATCATCAACACCCCATGAGAGGTTCCCCACATAAAGCCTATTAGTGTTATCATATCTTCCACTTCCCCCACCCATGGATCCTCTGAAAGAACTTTCCCTCTTCGGTGGTGGAGGCCCAGAGTTCACCCTCAACTCTCTCCCCTCCAGTTCCTGCCAATCATAAATCATTTGACTTGAGAAAGTGCTTATAATGAAACACACTCCCTTCATTTCATATCAAGTGTCGTTTAAAGACTAATTCAGTTTACAATAACAATTTGTAAAGACAGGAAAAGGTTGAAATTCTATCAAATGATATCTTGGTTTTCTAAAAAATGTGTGTTACAAAACAACCACTATACTCCTTCCATTCCCAAACAAAAAATTGTACATCCCAAAATAAAATTTGATCTTTTCCAATTTCTTTTACAAAATTGGAATATGTGATTCTTAAACAACTTTCAGCCACATTTCTTTTCTTTTCAAATGCAAGTCAAGCAAACCAAGTGGGTAGCTAGACTAATGCTTCCAGATATTCATCAGGTGAACAGAAAAATGAAATCTTGATTTACAATTCATACCCAACAAAAGCAAAATTGGGAAACCAGTGCTAGTTTTCAACCCATGCTCATAAGGCAAACCAACATTGTTAATTGTTAAATACACAAATTTGAACATTATAAGTGGAAGAAGCTCACATATCCATTCAATTGTTGAACAGCAGCTTCTGCTTCCTCCACTGTTGACATTGTCACAAACCCAAATCCTCTGCTTCTTCCACTTTGCTTGTCATATATAACCTGAGAAGTTTTAAACATCAAATTAACCCTTCTGCAATTAATTAAGTCCATAAGTAAACTGTACCAAATTTCAGCAGATGATAAACAACCATAGCTCAGAGAAGAAAATTGAATGAAAAATAGAACTTCCAAACAAATAAACGCCAGATTATATCTACCTCAGCCACTTCAACATTTCCTACTTCGCCAAACAGGTTAGCAAGAGTAGCACTTTCAACACTAAACGGCAAGTTTCCGACGAAGAGCCTCAATTCCGACGGGAACCTTGGCTCGTTCGAGAACGAGTAGGAGGAACCGCCGCTGCCGAGATCTTCATCCTCGCCGTCGCCCTCCACGTCGTCCACTTCCTCGACGTCATCCAACGCATCCTCGACCTCGTCCGCGAACGCGACGCGAGGAACGGTGCGGGAACCGCGGGGAGACCGGAACGTGGCGACGGAGCAGGAGAGGGAGAGAGCGCGATTGACGGGTGATGAGTAGGGGAGACAGAACACGCGCGATGAAACGGCGGCGGCGGCGGCACTGGGTTTGGAGAGAGGGAGGGATTTGGGGCTGAGAGACAGGAAATGGAGGGGTAATGTTGTGGAAGCCATGGCTGAATTTTGAAGATAAGGTGAAGAAGACTCTAGCAGTAGTGAGAGGTTGAAGAGAGGCGGTCTGAGGGCTTGTAGTGGATATTTATGGACCCGATAGGGGAGATAATTTGGATTTATTGGGCTGGACTGCTGGATCGATATCAAGCCCAATTTTTGGACGGTCTCCAATATGAAAATTATTAAGGCTCAGTTTGATATATGAAATTCAAACTAAAGAATTTGAATTGAAGACAACAATTCTAATTTTGTTGTTTGGTAGCATAAAAATATGTGGATATAGAATTGATAATGACAAAAATGAATGGGAACTAGGGAATTGAATTTCATCCGAATCAATTCCATAGAATTTCAATTCTCAATTCAATTCCATGTAACAAACGGATCCTAAGAAATGAAAAATGCAGTGTAAAAAAATTCTTTTTGTCTCAAAAAAATCTACACTTTGATTTTTTTTGATCAAATTTATCCAAATTTTGATCACAAATTAAATAAAACTTTAAATCATTAAATATTATAATGTATTAATGTTCACACGACTACTCTAAAAAATATGACTTTGTATGAAAATATTCCACATGGCTAGATGTGAAAATTAACACCATTGCTCACAATTTTTTTATATTTTCGCATCATTACTCCTACTTATCTGGTTAGTAACTTTTATTTTGAATACTCTTTTTCCACTTTTAATTTTAGTAAAAATGAGAGCCCTAAGTCTTCTTTGTATGCATTGCATTCGTGCTTTTGTTCTTCTCGTACTGTATTTTTCATCCTCTTTGTAATTTTATTTTTTCATTTGATTTTCCTCATAAATTTAAAATGTTTATTAACACTTTGTCTATTATAAATTAATAGTTTGGTTTGATTCTCCACAATGTTTAACAAAATAAAGTTATATAGTTGAAAATGATATAAATGAATAAATTACCTTTACAAAAAAATATAGTTAAATAAGATTTAGTTTTTTAATAATTAAAAGACACACGACTCTTGTTTTTAATAAATTTAAAATGAAAAAAGAATATTCAAAATATAAGTACACCTTTTTCACTCAGTAACGAAGTAAAAATATAAGAAAGTCGGAACCTGTTACTACCTCCTTCCCTGATTATTTGTCTGACTTTTTCGGTCAACAGTTTTCAACATTTGATCTATAATTACATAGAGTATATATTGTATACTAATTAGATAAAATAATATTTTGAAAATGTTTGGTATAATAAATCTATAAAATTATTTTTGTATCAATATCTTATACCACATTTATTTAATTTAAGATTAAAGTTTACTAATTTTGATAAAAAAAATCAAAAGTGAACAAATAAAGAGAGACTTAATTATTAGGAGTATTTTCGTCACGGCAGTCCACACCGCATGGCGTCACTCGTCAGTATATGTAGGGCGTGTTTGTTTGTGTGTCTTTCTATATCCACCCATCATCAAATTAAGAAAGGGATTATTATCGATCATAGGTAAAAAGTTGGTGAGCTTCTAAAATTGGGTTCTTCTCTAATCTTCTTCTTCCTCCTCATCGCTACAGGTCTGCTTTTCTTGCTTTCCTTTCTTCAATTTTTACCGTCTAATTTTTACTAATTCCTTTTTCATGTTGCGGATGTTTGTTTCGAATGATTAATTTTACTTATCCCATCAAACTTACGATGCTGATAAAGTTTTTTTTGAACACTAATTAAATTAGTATCTGTTCATAGTAATAATTTAGATATTCACCTCTATTTCACCAATTAATCTCCCCGTGAAGTAAATGTAATCCTAAATTGAATTAATCATTCGAAATAAACATTTTTTCCCCTTCTGGAATAGGCCCCTCCGTTTAATTTTACAATTCGGATTACACCAAGGTTCCCATGACATTGCCCGGCAATGACCCGGGTGCTCCAGTGCCTCATTCGTAAAATTGACTGTTCCTACCCCTACCCCTCGGTAAACCCTCCACCCAGCCCCGTCCCGAATACACCCCCACTTCCTTCAGTTGCACCCCACAAGTTGATTTTGATTTTGAAGTCAAAATGAAGGAGGTGGGGGGTGTGTTCGGGTCGGGGCGGGGTGGGAGGTTTACCGATGGGGTTAGGGGGACCGTCAATTTTACGAATGGGGTACCGGAGCACCCCGGGTGACATTGGGTTCCAATGTCATGGGAACATCTCCTTTCTGGTTAATGTTATTTCGAGTCAAACCGAAAAAAGTTTTTTATTATCAATTACATCGAATTTTACACTACGTATTGTTTATTATTACAAAAAAAAATTATTAAATTTTCTTATTGAAAACTTTTTTGATATTCTATGAGATACTACAACCCTTTTTTGATATTCTCTGAAGTAAAAAAAGAATTCAAATTTGATATTTTTCGGATATCACAAACTTCCCAAAATTAAAATAGACTGTTTGGATATCTCCAAATTTGGGGAATACTATTAACATAGGAGTTCCATAACTCCTTCAACCGTCAAGCACTCCTTGTCGCCGGCTACCACGGTCACCCTCGCCCACCACTTCAGTTGTCGGGTCCCAAATAGACCTTAAACAATTTGGCATTAAGTTAAAACATGTTATTACATTAATTGTTTGACTATTTTAGGAAGAACGACCTTGACAAAGATATACATATCATCTATCGTCATGTACGTGATAGTGATATCGGTACCGCTGATCCTCTTGGTGCTGATGGTCGCCATTGCTTGTTACCTGTTTGGTAAGTCGAGGGCACGATGAAGACATCATATCATCTCCATTTTACACTCTCTGCCCCTCGGTGCATCCAATCGTGGTTCTATATACCACATTTGTTCACATTTAAATGATCATCATGATTAGTTAAATAGTTAAATATGATTATATGAATGAAGAATATGCCATTTTGTTTCTAAACATATTTACCCGTGTACTAAAGTTAGTGTTTGATGGAATTCTACCATCTTATTTTACGTGTAAAATGAATAGATAAACATAAGGATGGTGTGAGAAAGTTTAGCTCTATACAGGCTAATGATTATCAGAATAAGAGTATATATGTGTGGACGATTTTAAAATGTTTTCATCTCATATTACTTCTAGGATAAGTCTGTAGTTATACTAATTTTGATATTATGTATTTCACAACGTGTATATATAATGATGATAATGATTATCCTTGTAATTTGGACAATGATTATCTAGTTATTACATCAGTCACAATGATTCTTTTTCATTTTAATTTTTATGGAGTTTAAGAGAAGAATTCTACTGTTTGAAAGACTTGATATCAAAATTGTATGACTATAGTATGATTCTTCTAAGTTCCTGATTGCGGTCTGAATGAAATCACTTAAAATTTGTAATTGATCTGGGTGGACTCAAGAGATGCTAGTTGAGTTGCTTATACAGTCTATTCGTCTCGTAAGGTCGGAAGTTAATAAAAAACTTTAACGCTTAATCAGGTCTCGGTCAAAATTGTATGAACAATTTATATTAGCACTCTTGTGTTGACTTTTATAACTCTTTCATTTCTACTTACTCCGGGTACTTTTTAATATGGGATGAATAGAATTGCTTTTTCACATATTTGTTTAGGGAGTTAAAAAACATATTTGGATAAAAAATATTGAAGATCATGTAATTGACGCCAATACACTAGACCACCCCATAATTATATTTCTACTTTTTTATGTCAGATTTGCCATGGATAGTACTAAAAGTCGTCACTTTTTCCATTATGGAACTAATTATCATTTATTCCTTGAATAGTACCTTTTTCAACTTGACTTCCCCTTTTTAGCCTTCCATTCCCCATGCCTAAATCAAATCAGGCTTGTCTCTATCAAACTCCAGATTTTTTTCCATTTTCTCGCACAACTCAATTCTTGCCTTTCACTGTCTTCTTCGATCGAACAGGATCAACCACAATTTTTCTTCGTGATTCAAATCCGGCAACTCGATGTATAGATCTGGAGAAGAACCAAAGACATTGATGGATAAACAAATCGACATTGAAAATTGACACAATGTCTCTATGATGAATCCAAGGACATTAACATACGTATTATACTAGGACATTATTCAACTAGATAGAGGTCATTGTGACATCGGTGATGGGCGACGACAAGGTGGACATTTTAACATCGATGGTAGGCATTGTGACATCAGTGGTAGATGGTCGCAAGATAGACATTGTAACATCGACGGTGGACATTGTGAAATTGACGATGGTCGGTGACAAAGTGGACATTTTGACATCGGCGGTGGGCGGCAGCTATGATAACATTGACGATGGACATTGTGACATCGGCGGTGGGCGACGGCAAACTGGACATTGTAACATCGGCAATGAACATTGTAACATCGATAGTGAGCGGCGATAACCTTTAGCGCGGCTCTCTCTCTCTGGCTATAGTCCTGGATAGGCCGCTGGATTTTCGAAATTCAATGTCCACTTGTTTTCCAAAAGTGTTCAATGCCCGCTGGAATCTCAGAATTCAGTCGCGGAAGAGTGTTAAATGCCCAGATCAATTCTTAAAATTCAATCACATAAGAGTTGGGGTTATATTAGTCAATTGGTGTTGCTGACGTAATTAAAAAAAGGTTTATGGTAGTACTAGTCCTATATTGGAAAACTTGCATTGTTTTAGTACCATTTTTGTATTTTTCCCCTTTTTTATTTGGTTGTTTCATCATTTTCTTTCACTTTTTTGTTTTCTCTACACAAACCATAACCACACAAATCTCAATTTATTAGAATTTGGGTAAAGTAAAAAAAAAAAGAAACTTATGAAACACAAAGAATTTAACTTTTGTTTCATAATAAAAACCTGAAATCGATTTGGAATTGAAACAGTACGACACAACCCCCACTCAATTCTAGTTATGGGTCTGCTATATTAGACATTTAGACCCTTTGCTTTGGATTATTTATTGTAAGCCCATACGAAGAATAATACGGATTAAGGAGTATTATACGGATTAAAGCATAAATTCCCTACTACTCCGTCAAGAAAGAAAAAAAAATTTACAATAATTTAAAAAAAAATTAATTTGATAAAATACATTCCCTTCAGACGAGTATTTGCAAAAACCTATCGATATCGATCCACAGACCCAAACCTGGGCGAGAATGGCTTCTCGAATCGCAAGAAGAGTCATCGGGAGCGGCTTCTTTGGATGCAGTTCATCAGCTGCATCTGCTAGGGTTTTCAATCGGGGCTTCGCCGCATCGGCGTCAAGTTCTAATCTGATTCGCGCCACTCTCTTCCCCGGCGACGGAATCGGCCCCGAGATTGCCGAGTCCGTCAAGCAGGTCCGTTTCTTCGCTCCTTACGTGTCTCTTATGTTTCGTTGCTCCGTCTATCATGATTTTCGTGGAATTTTCCAACTGCGGTGTTGAATAAATCATTATTCTTTGATACGATTTTTTGTGTCATTTGACTTGAATTGCACGAGCTTATGTTTCTATAATGATGATCCATACACTTGAAGAACAGAATCGTCATTTTATGATACATGAATTCTTGATGTAGTTTTTAATGTCTGGATCATTGTTCTGCAATGGACAATCGTTTGGTAAAATACTGCTATTGTTATGAGTGAATCATTATCACTGTACTTAAATGCAGGTGTTCAGAACTGCTGATGTGCCTATTGAATGGGAAGAACACTACGTGGGGACAGAGGTGGACCCTAGGACCCAGAGTTTTCTTACATGGGAGAGCCTTGAATCTGTGAGAAGAAATAAGATTGGGTTAAAAGGTCCAATGGCTACACCTATTGGAAAAGGTCATCGTTCTTTGAATCTCACACTGAGGAAAGAGCTCAATCTGTATGCCAATGTTAGACCTTGCTACAGTCTACCTGGATACAAGACTCGCTATGATGATGTAAACCTCATTACAATTCGTGAAAATACTGAAGGAGAGTACAGTGGTCTTGAACATCAAGTGAGTTAATCTCTTATAACCTTCATTTGCAAAATAGTTTTGAAACCCCACCACATATATCATCCTTAAGCCTCTGTTTGGTTCAAACCAGGGTCCAGGGGAATGATAAATGTGGGGATTTGTAGGTGGGGTGGTTTAAAAATATTATGATTGGTTGGATGAAAGAGAGTTAGGAGGCATTACAATTCTTGAAAATACTTAAAATGATAAATAAATTTTATTGTAACTGAAAATTTATTAATCTACATGCATATGATGCATGCCAATTTTGGTGAAACACGAAAGATATCAAAAAAAGCAGCAACTTCCCCCCATCCCCCTCCCCACCTACCCTCACACACACTCACACCGAACCAACACACGCAACTCCTTCACCTTCATCCACCATGCTCCAAAATTCTCCAACCAAACAAAGACTTAAGAATTGTGTTTAACTGTTGAATCTTGTATAGGTGGTGAGGGGTGTGGTTGAAAGCCTCAAGATCATTACACGTCAAGCAAGTTTGAGGGTTGCAGAGTATGCATTCCACTATGCACAGACACATGGAAGAGATAGAGTTTCTGCCATACACAAAGCCAACATCATGCAAAAAACTGATGGTCTTTTCCTCAAGGTCTTCTACATTTTTATGTTCCCTCTCTTCTTTTAAGGATATGTTTGGAGCTTGGAAAAAGCGGGGGAAAGTTAATAGGAAGGAAAATTGAAGTGGAAAATTTGAAGGAAATCTAAATATATATACTCCCATCCACTCCAATATAATCTGCCTAGTTTGACTCACCACAATTTTTAGTAAAGTAAAAATTGTGTGATGGAGATTTACGCGGAGAAGAGTGGAATGCTAAAAAGCCGCGCTTCTTTTTGAAAATAGATACATTAAATTGGGGCCGGCCGAAAAAGGAAAACAGGTGCAATTAATTGGGATGGAGGAGTATAATTTTTAAATACAATAATCATAATCCGTTTTCCTTGTATATCTCCAAGGTAAACCCAAGCACAAGAAAATAACTTTCATTGTCAATTTTTTTCCTTCCCTTAACATTTCCCAGGCTCCAAACATACCACAAACTGTGCTTCACATACATTAACTTACAGTATATCCATTTTAGTGTTGTCGTGAAGTTGCAGAGAAATACCCTGATATAAAATATGAAGAAGTTGTTATTGACAATTGCTGCATGCTGGTATCTATACTTACCTTTTTTATAAACCAAGTCCTGTGTTTTAAGGGTTGAAAAGTATGTATTGAAGTATATCTATTTTCGTAACCATACAGCTTGTGAAAAATCCAACACTCTTTGATGTGTTGGTGATGCCCAATCTTTATGGTGACATTATCAGCGATCTTTGTGCGGGTTTGATTGGAGGGTTGGGTCTAACACCGAGGTATTTGAGTTTCTCCTTTAATTTTTTTTCATATCAAGATGATTATATTTCATGACTAGTGGACAACTAAGACGTAATGTTTTTATTCAGTTGCAATATTGGTGAGGGCGGCATAGCCCTTGCTGAGGCTGTGCATGGTTCAGCACCTGATATTGCTGGAAAGGTGTGTAACTTTGCTTCAATATTACTGGATTTAAATTTTGGTTTATGTGCTGGTGGCTAGCCTGCTGCATATTTATTTTACCCGCACACACACAATTTTTCTAACACGCTAGTTCAAATCTTTAAGCAACACAGAATGTTGTTTTATAAGCATGGTTTGGAAGTTTGTCAGAGTACTTTTCTCTGTTAAGTTAATGTATTTGATATGCTCCATTAATTGCAGTGGGAAATATGTTCTGTAGAATATCTTTTTTATGGAAAATGTTTATTTTTGGGAAAAAGTTGTTCTTCTATGTATTAACTAACAAAAAATAGTAAAATTGATTTCCTTTGTTCAAAATATTAAGTCAATTATCTCAAGAGTCCAATGAACCAACAATCAATGAAACTTGGAAAACACACTGGTGAAAGTATTATATAATGCTTCGAAAAACGTGCCACTCACTACTAGCATCCTCACTTTTTTCCCTTTCTCTCTTGTGGCGCCTATGAGTCTTAGCTATCAGGCATTGCATCAAAGACTGAGATTTTGTTAGATTGTACAACAATTAAGCATGATAGTTGTGTAATGAAATTTATTGGCATTGATTATCTACCTAGTTTATATACCTTTGGTCTTGTGAAGTCTAATTTTTACACTCTGTAGTTTCTTTTTTGCATCATGTGTGTAAATATTATTCTTCCTTCGTCCCAAAATAGATGCCCAACAAGACATTACTAGTGATACTTGCAATTTCTATGAAATTGATACTCTTGTCATGTTTATCTAGTTCATACGTTTCCAAATAACAGGAAAAGTACACACTATTAGACACACAACTGTATTAAAAATTTCCTTAAAGCTAGAATAAACAATGAAACAAATTTGACAGACAAAAAATGGAATAGACATGATAGTTTTCTAGAATGCTTTACTTCTGCCTGTCCTTGTAGCCAAGTTTACCATGGTTTTCATTTTTACAGAACTTGGCAAACCCAACAGCTCTGCTTTTGAGTTCGGTCATGATGTTGCGACACCTGAATCTTCACGACAAAGCTGACCGCATCCAGAGCGCCATCATGACCACCATTGCAGAAGGGAAGTATAGGACTGGGGACCTCGGCGGGAAGTCTTCCACAACCGAATTCACAAATGCAATCTGTGATCATCTCTAAACGATGTTGCCCCAAACAAGCATCCATTCATTTTCCCATTCTGGTTCGCTCTCAAATAGGAAAATTTTAAAGTTTTTTTCCCGGTGTTTATTGGGAAGGCAAACTCAGTGACTTCTCACACTCATATAATGTCACGTGTCACGTCACGTTCGCCTTGCTGAGTTTATCTACATTTTGGAAAAATAAAAAAAAGTTATTTCCCCCCAACGGTTTTTTTTTGTTGTTCCGCAGGAAACTATGTTTGGCGGGAGAGCCATTCTCATGATTCATTTATCTGATTAAGTAGCATAATACATTTATTTTTGATGAATGTATACATAATTTCCCCGGCCGGATTCGGTGATATTTTCTTTCATTTTTATTGAATTTTAAGTTTTGATCTAATCTCATTGTAGTTATATTTAGAATTCTTTCTGATTTGATTTGATTTCAATAAAAATAAGTACTTGTAGAGTCATACTACTTTAAAGGATTTCAATCAAAATTTCTAAAACCTCAAAGCTTTGGTAATTACATAACTTTGGATTACATAGTGAAATAGACAAGAATTTTAAGAGCAATATGAAAAAGGGTCGATGAAATGTTTTTGATAGAGTAATCGTTATTTGATGAGACATAATAATGTGAGTAATTTAAAAAGAATAAGTAGTTGGAGCATAAGACCGGTAAAAAATGCAAAAATAATAGTATTTAGAACGAGTAGCTGTTTAAATTGCACTCTAGTGTCTTTCAATGATTTTGAAAAAGTGGAGTTTAAGACCGGTTAAAAATGCAAAAATAATATTTAGATTTGACTTAGAATTTTAACTACTTTCTTTAGTTATGTACCCTATAATTAAGTGTTTATTTAATAATAATTTTAATGTTTAACTTTAAATTTTTGAGAAGAATATACTTTGTATATTGATACAATAATACTCCGTATTTAATTGGAGCATCTTTTAAAATATATTTATGTTACAAAATGAGTAAATTCCATAATTAATCTTTTATAAAATGGAGTTTTCAATATTTATTCTTCTATTGTCAGGCATTATCAAGTAAATTCCACAAATAGTGTTTCTTTATGTTTTGTCATCTAAAAATATAATTTGATATCAACCCTATGTCCAGTGGTGTATTCTGATGTCGGTTAGATGGATAATACAATAATATTGACTATTATTGTGGACTAAGATTCTACGAAATATCACATCGATAGACTATGATGTAGTAGAATGCGGCTGCATTTCACAAACAGCACATGAAGAGCGGCATCTGGAATTGTGTATAACAAGAAAGATATATGATCATTTTGAAACAATATTTTTAACTTTCAAATTAACACCAACATGATAGAAGATAAAAAAATATTATATGTGTAAAGATATCCAAAAAAAGACTAATATATAATATTTGATAAAAGATAATTAAATAAGAATATCTCTACTCTATTATAAAGAACTAATTATGAAATTTACTATAAAAAATACAGTATATTTACCTGTGAGTATTATTACTAGTACTCACCTTTTGGCTTTTGCCAAACAAGACGCTAGTAATCTCACCTTCTCACCAACCTTTGGTCACCGCATTTCTAGGTCATCACCAACCTGGGCCCTACGAAATTCTCCCAAAGAAGGGACTTTTATGTGCTCACTATGCCCAACTGAGTTCCCGTCCCAAAGTTTTTGAAGTCCCGCACAATCCATTCATCCATCTCCACCCAGATTTGAAGCTTCTTTTCTGCAGCAGCAAGGGAAAATGTCGTGCGATGGAATTCTTCTGGGGATGGGAAACCCCCTCCTCGACATTTCTGCCGTCGTCGACCATGATTTCTTGAACAAGTACGCTGTTTTTTTAAAGTCCAGATCTTTCGATCTCTCATGCCTCCATTGTTTTTCTTTCGATCTGTCGTTGCTTTCTTGATCCTTCTCAATCGTATGAACCGTGTTTGTGGATTTGGGTTGATCTCTAGATCCTTTGTTTTATCTTGTTCTGCAATTATATTGTTTGATCTTTGATCCGTGAGATTCTGTTTTGTATTACATCAATGCTGAATCGATGCAGTCATTTGCTGTGGGACTTGTTTGGTGCTGACATTTTATTATAACCCATTAGGTACGAAGTCAAGTTGAACGATGCAATTCTGGCGGATGAAAAGCACTTGCCTATGTAAGTCTGTTTGTCCCCCTTTGAAGTTTAAACAGGATCTGAGCTTGTTGAACAGTTTCTGGATGATGTGGTTTACTTTGTATGATGCTGCTTGATGATTGTCTTGTTGATTTTAGCTGATGCTCTTAGGCTTGCTTATTTGTAATCAGGTATGAAGAAATGACTTCTAAGTACAATGTTGAGTACATTGCTGGAGGTATGGACTATGTGAAATTTAAGGGGAAAATGGTTGACACCATTAGAGACAATCACGCAAGACAATCATTGTCTATGAGACAACCATTGTCGGGGAATTTAAGAACTCATCTTTCATGTTCTTTTATGTTTGGGTATGATTTTTTTTGAGCGACATGTTTGGTTGTTAATTTGGTATTGCAGGTGCTACTCAAAATTCAATCAGGGTTGCTCAGGTATCATTTGTCTACTAATGGGTTTTACTATCTCATTGACTCTCTCTAGAAGATGATGTATGTATGTTAGAGATTCAGTGCATTTTTCTCTTTGCTTTTGCAGTGGATACTTCAAAAACCAGGTGCAACCAGTTTCATGGGTTGCATTGGAAAGGACAAGTTTGGGGAGGAGATGAAGAAGAATGCAAAAGATTCTGGTGTTAATGTAAATTCCTTTTTTTTGTTTGTTTGCATTTTACTGGTTCTGATTTTAACATTTGTGCAGTACTAATCATATTGTTTTTATTCAATGTTACTGCAACTTTCTGTTGCTTGGATTGAGCGTGCTAGAAGTGACGATTCATATTCTTTTTACAATTTTGACATGTTCAGGTTCACTATTATGAGCATGAAACAACTGCAACAGGTACTTGTGCTGTCTGTGTCATTGATGGTGAGAGGTGAGTTTCACTAGAGTCAAGAGACTAAACAGTCACATATCTTGCTCTCCTTCACATTTGAAATTCTTGTGTGGCCACAAAAATGAACGACAAAATCCTTAGGCGTATATGTAATACTCCATATTTATTAGCACTGCTTTACAAATTGTCTTGCGCACCCAATGATTTTATAACATTAGTTATTAGTAATAGTAAAGATTAAAGACCAATGATTTTTACACTTTTAGCCCTCAATTTAACACCTAGATAGCAGAAGCTAAAAAAAGACTATTTGTGGAAAGATACCCATAAAAGGACCATATGGGTAATATTGTATTGTAGAGGACTAAATATGGAAAACCCCCTGTTATAAAAGACCAATTATGGAATTCACTCTCAATTAAATTTCCTTTGATATTTGTTCCAACTTATTTTATTCATTTAATTATACAATTCTCATATAGGGTTTAATCTTTTCCTAATGGGATTATGGAAAAATTAAATGTGCAGGTCACTCATTGCCAACTTGTCTGCTGCAAATTGCTACAAGCCTGATCATTTGAAAAAACCCGAAAATTGGGCTTTGGGTATGCTCCATTTCACTATGTCCAACATCTATGTTCTTTACCATTTCATGAAAGCTTTAATTTCTTGATTTTGACTTGCAGTTGAGAAGGCCAAGTACTACTACATTGCTGGATTCTTCCTCACTGTTTCCCCCGAATCAATTCAGCTTGTTGCAGAGCATGCAGCTGCCAACAACAAGGTTTGATAAATATATTTTCAAGTCCGATCTTTGCATATAGATTGTTTAAGAATGTTTTTTTAATAGTGAAAGACAACAACAAACCTAGTAACATCCCCCCACATAGTAGGTTTTGGAGAGGGTGTGTTTACTCGGATCTTATCCCTTGGAAGTTGGGAGGGGGGGGGGTGCGCAGACCTTACCCCTACTCGAAAGTAAGGAGAGTGTGTGTGTGCAGGCCTTACCTCTACCCTGAAGTAAAGAGGCTTTTTCCATGAGACCCCCCCAGCCGGGGCTCAATCACATAATTTATAGTTAAATACATTTATGTTTTTATTATGTGTAGGTGTTCACGACAAACCTTTCTGCTCCATTTATTTGCGAGTTTTTCCGGGATGCACAAGAGAAGGCTCTGCAGTAAGTGCTACTTCTCAGTACATTTTTAATATAAAGTAATTCCACAACCATCTCAAGTAAATTAGTCTTTGAGAACTCGTCTCTTGTCCCAATAAAGAGTTATATTTCAACAAACAAAGTTTAATTTCAGTAAATTTGTATTCTAATTTTATTTTATTTGTAAAACACAAGTGTCTAAAAAATTTAAATATGTTAAAATTAAATGTAACCATGATTGGTGACTTTACAACAACAAAAAAACCCAGTAGAATGCCTCTAGGTGCTAACTGGTATGAGATTGAATACCGTAACCATTTTGGTGTTCAGGTATGCGGACTACGTCTTTGGAAATGAGACAGAAGCAAGAACTTTCTCTAAAGTTCATGGTTGGGAGGTACATGTTTTTTTTGTTGATATTTTGCACAATAATAATGTTCTAATACGTGCGATAATATATTTTCCTTTTTAAATATATTTCTTGTCATCGTATTGCTGTTTTGGTGCAGACTGATAATGTTGAAGAAATAGCTTTGAAGATTTCGCAGTGGCCTAAGGCATCCGGAACTCACAAGAGGATCACTGTCATCACTCAGGGTGCAGATCCAGTTGTCGTGGCCGAGGACGGGAAAGTAAAACTGTTTCCTGTCATATTGTTGCCAAAAGAAAAACTCATTGACACCAATGGTGCAGGTTTGTGCTCTTTTTTTAAAAAAAAATCCGCTTCGTCTATGTCTAGGCATTGAACCCATCTGGCTTTGGTTCTGAAAAAAAGTTCATTTTGGTCTGTTCATTCTCAAAAAAAAAGAAAAACACAGTTTGCGATCGGTTTTCTCTCTATAATAAGTTCTAACCATGCGGTTTTCACTGTTTGAACTTTTTTCTTGAACTTCTGAAAGTCAGATGTTTAAAACCATAGACTTTTTTTCACAGATCAACTATTGTCTGTCCTAAAATGTGGGTGTTGCTTTTATTACAGGTGATGCATTTGTGGGAGGGTTCCTGTCACAGTTGGTCCAGGAGAAACCGATCGCAGATTGCATCCGAGCAGCTTGTTACGCCGCCAATGTCATCATCCAGAGGCCCGGCTGCACCTACCCCGAGAAGCCCGACTTCGAATAAATTACGCAATTCTTTTTTTCCCCCTCTAGCCACACCCCTTTTCCTTCTTGATTCTTGAGAAAGATTCATTGAGGGGTGATAATAGTCTTCTTCTTCTGATGATGAAGGAACAAAGCTGGCAATAGTAAAAATAATTCTAAGTGTGTTTTGGATTATCTCCACGAATTTGTGTTTTTTATTAAAAAAAAATACATTTTTCGTTTGTATTTTGCAGTTTTTTAATGCATTGTTATGGTAATGATACTCTATAATCCGTATTATATTGTGAGTGTTTTTCTGTGCTTATTAGCGAGTCAAATCTGTTTATCTACATGTTTCTTTGTGTTTATAAGCTAACTTAGGATGCGTTATGCTCGCTTGATTTGATTTAATTTGATTTGTTGATTTAATTAGATCTGTTTTGATTTGATTGTAGTTATATTTAACTTTATTTTTCATCTGATATGATTAGATATAGTCTAATTTGTTTGAATTTGATTTGATTGTAGTTATATTCAAATCTTTTTCTAATCTAATTTGATTTTAATTGATCTGATATGATTGGATCTAGTTTGATATGATTTCAATAATAATAAGTAATACTTTGAAAAAATAAGTTGAAAGAAATGGACCTTTATAAGCAATTTTTAAGTTAGAAAAAAATAAAAGGTTTTACTTACTTATTTTAAAGTTAGATTTTTTAAAAAAATCATTTCGAACAGATTACTTATTAAATTAATTTTTATCATTTAAGAATATTTGCAAATGTGTTATCAATAATTCTAAGTTATTTTACTTTTATGAAAACACATTTCACTTATAAGCAGTTTATAGATTAAAAAACTACTCTGTGTTTATTGATTAATAAGTCAATAAATACCAATAAAGACAAAAATCTTCATAATCTTTCGGTCACAAAATAAGTTTTTGGCTTTGATCCAAAAAGCTTATTTAGAGAAATAATATGAATAGTGGAGAAATAATGCGAATAGTACTCCTTTATGTTTAAGTAATTGGGAAGATATTGTCTGGAAAATTCATCAACATTGTTAAGTTAATAATGTAAAAGCATGAAAGTAAACAAACAAAAAAAACTATTAAAGCCGTAAATAATTCGTTAAATTCAAAAACTTTTTATTTTTAAAAATCATCCTTGGTATCGTGATATCGAATCTAAAACGTTAAAAACTAGGGAGTACTACGTATTTACTATGGAGTATTTTATACTACATGTTAGGACCCAGGGATAATCTGGGAGTGCTCTGGTGTCCCATTCGTAAAATTGATAGTTTATATCCCTCCTAACTCTCGGTAAACATCTGCTTGACCGCCCCGCATCGACCCGAACACCTTCCCCACCTCCTTCAATTGCACCTCCAAGTTAGTTTTGACTTTGGAGTCAAATTTTGACTCCAAAATCAAAATTAACTTGGGAGTGTAATTAAAGATGGTGAGGGACTGAGGAGTGTTCGGGTCGAAACGATGTGAGGAATTTACCGGAGAGTTAGGGGCGGTAGAAATCATTAATTTTACGAACAGAGTACCTCCGAGTCATTTTATGACATTGATTGCCAATGTCTTGGGAACCAAAGGAATATCCGATTTGATTATTTCAAGTTAAGTTTAAGGGACTTTGATAATTATTTAAATAAATATTATACGAGTATAAAATATTAGAATAAAAATGGTTTTAATAAATTTATTCTCTAAAAGGTTTCAAATAATTACTTGTATTATTTAATATTAATATGTAACATAATTTGTATTATTTATGTAATTGATGATTACAATTCATCTAGGTTAATTCATTATTAAAGAAACACATTTGTGTTTAATGTTATTAGTGCTTAAAAAGATACTCAATAATTATTCCAAATAATTTTAATGTGAATTCGTACTCCCTCCATCCCGGAATCATGTCCCATAATTAATCAAGTAAGACAATAAAAAATAAAATTATATACGGAGTAATTAAAAGTAGATGTAAGAAAATAAACAATAATAATAGAAAGCTTTTTCAAGATTTAAAAGCATTGAATATTGTACCGCATCGAGCTTTTATAATACTCCGGATCAATCTTTTTTTTTTTTTTTGCACTTTTGGACCTCCGATTTTTCCTAAATTCTGATCTGGATACCGCCACCATGAACAGCCACCCTCCACGGCCGCCGTTGCCGCCGTTATCGTCCCCGATCAATCACCGCACAACTGCGCAGGTCCTCAAACACGCCGCCTCCATCTTTTTCTCCCACTTCTTCCTCTTCCTCTTCCTGTCTTCCCTCGTCTTTATTTTCCGGTCGAACGTCGACAACGGGGCCCACTTCCTCACCTCGGTCATCGACCGCGATCCGTCTCTCAAGTCCTTCCTCTCCCGCGTCGACCTCTCCGCCGCCACCTCCTCCGCCCCCCACCAGCACAACATCCGCCTCCACCGACAACGCCGCCCTTTTCTTCACCTCACCCGTGTCGGCACCCTAGACGACGACTTCTTCTCCGGAGACCTTGACCTTGACCGCTCCCTGTTCTACCCTTCATCGAAGCAAACTCCCAATTCCACTTCCCTAATCCTCTCGAATTTCGATCCGAGATTAGGGTTTTCGCACCCCATCGTCGACAACGGAATTGCTATTCCCCAATCCGTTCGTTCCGGGTTAGTATCCTTTAAGCCTTCATCTGAACCATTTGGAATCGACGATAATTCTACAATTCTCAGTGAGGGCCACAATGACAACACAGTAGTGGTTGATTTACAGTTCTTGGTGAAAGGTTTGGAGCTTGGCCGCAGCGATGTGACAAAATTGCTTTTCCTGTTAGGGCTATTCATAGCTGCTTACAGTTACGCGGTCTTCGCATTCTTGGTCACATACACTTGGGTAAATGGCATCATCTTCATCCAGGTACTGGATAATCTTCTAGGCAATTCCAAATCTCCTTTTAGGACATTGTGGGATGGTGCTGATTTAGGGCTCAGAAGGCTTTCCGGATTCGTTCTAATAAGATGGGCAGTCCGGGATGCATTGGCGCAGCTATTGGGGATCTGGTCTTTTGGTGAAATTGATGATCAATATGAGTTCTTGAAGATCTCCATAAGAATGAAAATGATGCCCTTTTCGGATGTAGTACCATGGGTTAAGGGGCACAAGGAGGAAAGCGTGTGCTTTACACTCTCATGGTTCTTCGTCGAGTTGCTGGTGGGCTATGTGTTTGCTTTAGATTCATGGGTTGCAATTGTGGATTCAAGAAAGAGTGGCAGGGAGGTTGTGAAAGAAGGGTGGCATTTGTTGGGCACCTTACACAAACCAGCCATGGCTATCAAGTTTTGGGAATCCATGATTTGTGGGCTTTTGACAAAATTGGTATTGATTGAGGTTTTGGGGGAAGTTTACGCAACCGCATTCCAGTCAGTCATGGAAGTCTATTTCATGATCGTCTGGCTTGTGTTTTATTTGGCTGCAAGGTCAATTGATGCATCCTCACTCAGGAGGACGTTTGGGCGAAGGGAAATGGAGGGCTTTCTAGAGGGCGTCAGATGAGTTCTTATTTCCTCTGGTTGTAACCTTCGCGTTCGCGCCTATGTGTAGTTGCATATTTCAAGTCTGCCATTGTTGTGGTAAGTCTGTATAAAAAACAGCCATGATATGTTCTTGGTGCTTTATCTGTTTGTACATTCAAGTAATGTATAAGCCCCAAGGCAAACACATTACCTGTAGGCTTCACTGGATTTTTGGGAGTACGATGTCACATTTAGTTCTTGTGAAGACTCATATGGTGAGAAAATGTATAAATACTACTCCTATAGGTGATAGATGGTCTCTTTTTTTTTGAGTTTCTTGTTATATGACAGTCTTTATAGTCCATTTTAAACAGGGACAAACTGTGTAAGGTGTACGTTGTCTTAGAGCCCGTTTGGTGAGGGTTATTTCTTTGGAATCGTTGGTTTTTTTGAATGGGAAAAAACACTTGGTAACATCCATTTCGGCAAAAGAATAGTGTTAAATGTTGTGAAACCGATCATGTTACCAAATTGAGGCCTCTCCGAGTCATATTGATTTAAGAGTATATTTTTAAAAAATATGAAGTGAATGAGTTGGATATATTGATACAATCAGGAGGTGCAGTTTCTTCCTTAATTTGCCAGTTGATATTTGATGCTTTTTTCTTCCCATATCTCACTCTGTATTACTATTAAGTTCCATTTTATACTCCAATGTTGATGTGTTTTTAGCTTGAGTAGATGGCTTTTATAGTAAAAATAACCAATATATCCGACTCAGGAGTAGCATTTATGGTCTGTTTGGTTGGAGAAAAATTGCAAAGAAAGAAAATAATGGAAAAGAAAACATACATTTCAATGTATTTTCTCTTGTTTGGTTTGAAGAGAATATAGAGGAGAGGACAGGGATGGGTAAACCAAGCTGAAAATTTTCTATCATGTTGCCCTCTTTCCAAGAGGATAGAAAATACTCATGTCCAAAAATTATCTTTCAATTTACTATATAAAGGTTTAAACAAAGGGTTAACACTTCACTTAGCACCTATTTTTGTTGCCCGTTTCATAAAATAATACTCATGTCACTTCTAATTTTGTAAATCTTTTAATATAGTTTTAAATATGCAATTTTTATTTTTTAGTTTCACATCATTTTTCATATAAAATTATTTAAAAATGATTTCAATAAAAAAATGTAGCGCACAATGAAGAAATAATTTTTGGACGGATATTGTTTTACACTATCATCTTTGCAATAGGATAAAAATATGGAGTATTGTTTTACACTATCACCTTTTTTTAAAAACTTTTTCTCTCCAACCATACATAGTAAAGATAACATCCTTTTTCTTGCTTTTATTATTTCTTCTATTTTACTCATCCAAATAATAAAAGAAAATGTACTTTTTCTTCATTTTCTTCTCATTTTCTCTTCAATTTTTCCTCGTCATCCGAACGTAGGCTTTGGATTCATAGAAAGTAAGAAAAAAAATGTAATGTGGCATTTGGATTTAGCCCATCAAGTGCTCGAAATTAAGACATTGTCAATCTCGGGCAAATTATTCCGCTACTCGGATGAACCTACTTTCTTGTACATTCAATAAGCATTATGTTACTCGTAGAATGTGCATATACTAATTTTATAACGTGCACGCTTCGAGTACGTACCTACTTGCTTGTACATTTCCAACTTACCAATTACCATTGATTTTAGAAAGGTTACAAATTCATGACATTCTTGGGTACAAGTGCAGAGGATGTTTATGAATATACATTCTGCTAAAAAGTGCTAAATAGATTAACTTTTCACACCTGAATGATTTTGCTTGGGGTTTATTGGTAATAAGAAGAAGAGGGAAGATCTAATAGTTCTTGGACTTGCAGTTTCTTGGATATGGATGCACAGTGGCCAATTCAATGACTTTGTGCAAAATGGGCTTCGGCAATGGCCGCCACGAAAAGTTTTGCTTTGCTCCTTTACCCTGTGCCATTAGAGTTTACAATATAGTACTCGGTAGCAAATTTGTTTTAGTTCACCTAAGACTACCTCTTTATCAGCCATAAAATGACATTTTTCAAAATAGACTCAATGCATTTTTGCAAGACAAGAGACCAATGGTTCGAACAATCATCAAACTCATCGTCATAATCGGTAAAATCATCTAGAAACACCTCCATTACTTTGGTCAGATATTAAGAAAACATATTGGTCATACATTTTTGGAAGGTGGCAGAGGGATTACATAAGCCAAATGATCCTCCAACTGTTTTGACAAGTTTAAGATTAGAAAGGCAATAAACAATTTTCATCTCAGAATATGTTTTGAAATAAAGTCCAACATTTGAAAAAACATTGTACATGAACTCTTTTAGTCTCTTAAGGTCTATAGCCAGTGAAAAACTCAAAAACATAAGTGCCATACTATTAATAATATCAAGAGTATAAACATGGTTCACTCTATTTGGAAAGTGTTGAATTTACCTATTTCTTTCTAAAATATCCCTGAATAAATGCACGAACATCCCTTCCCTTCTTTGTAGAATGGGCTTTGACAATTACTACGAGAACAAGAACAATAGAGCACACAAGCAATCCAACAAATAAATGCTTCATGAATGGTGTGAGTTCTCCATTCAAATGAGGTTAGCCAGACTCGTCTTTGCACGTCCTTGTCTAAGGGCCACTCCCGTCTTTGCACATCCTTGTCTAAGGGCCACTCCCGCCTTTGCATGTTTTTTCAAAGACAGCGTGGCCCTTACTTAGAGGCTGCAAAGATGGATGTGGTCCACCTCATTTAAAAGGGATACTCAGACCATCAAAGAAACATTTACTTGTTGGATTGTGTGTGTGCTCTATTGTTTTTACCGTCATAGTAATTGTGAAAATGTTCTTTAAAGAAGGCAATGGATTCCCAAGCATTGATGCAATGATATTTGAATAAAGAATATGGAAATTCAACACTTTTTATTCCATGAAATTTCCAAATGAAGTGAACCATGTTTTTACACGATATTATTGATAATATGACACATTCTATTTCTGAGTTGTCAAGTCGTTCACTTAAACACTATAGACCCAAAGGGACTAGAACAGTTAATGTACAATGTTTTCAAATGTTGAACTTTATTTCAAAATGTTTCTTAGGTGAAAATTATTTTGGAACATCCCTAAAATGTGTCAAAACAGTTAGAAAGTCATTTGCCTTATGCAATGCCCCTGCAACCTTTCAAAGATGTATGACCAATATGTTTTCTGAATATCTAACCAAAATAATTTAAGTATTGCTGGATGATTCTACTATTTATAATGATGGCTCTGATGATTGTTCGAACCATTTGCCTCTTGTTTTGCAAAGATGCATCGAATCTAATCTGATAATGAATTTTGAAAAATGTCATTTCATGGCTGATAAAGTGATAGTCTTTAGGCCATGAAGTATCTGCTAGTGGACTGGAAGTTGACAGGGCTAAATAGTTATATGTATGAAGATCTAGCAAGTTTGTTTTAGCTCCCTCTTTTTCACAAGAGAAGTAAAGAGAGGGAACTGACCGGTTTCTTGCTTTGTGTTTGAAGATAGCTGGCTTTTAAGAGGTTTCTCCACTTGTCCTGTAAAGTTTAGGAAAAAAAAGTGTCCATTCAGGAAATACATTTTCTTCATCGTCAATAACAAGTAGCAACTCGATTCAAACAAACAAAGTCATCATGTCAAATTGAGTCTCAAACAAACAAATCCAGTAAAATTCCATAGAAACTAGAAAGGTAGCGTCTAGGGAGGGTGTGTTTACGTAGACCGTACCTAAGTTATCTCTACTCGGGCATCGAGAGAGACATTTTCCAAGAGACTACTGGCCCAGATAAATTTAAGAGTAGCACAAATTGTGTCTGGCTCACCTTAAAAACATCCTCATAAGTGGTAAGGTTTACCTCACACTGTGTGTGTGTGTGTGTGTGTGTGTGTGTGAGAGAGAGAGAGAGAGAGAGAATGCATGCATGCATACCTTGAGATCTACTGGTGTCCTATGGTCAGATGCAGAGAAGAAAAGCTTCTTTATTTGACTCCATCTCCCAACTCCAAACTGAGAAACACCATCTATTAACTTCTTCACCTCTGTAACGGTCCATAGCCTGTGGTGTTTCCTTCGAGCCCTTCTCTCATCATACAGTGTCAGTGCCATTTCAATATCCTCCTCATCCGATGTAAGCACCTGCACAGCATAAATGCATACTCTAATGATCTACGAGTAAAACAATGCAAAATGAATACATACAAACACTCTTACGCGCTGTTTAGAATACAGCAACAAAAAACCCAATATAACCCCACAAATGTGTGTGCAGACTTACAATAAGTGTAATTCGTGGAGAACTGAAGAGGCTGAAAAATCTACCTTGTTCACATGACAAGAAGTTGGACTCTTGCTACATTCTTTGGAACCAAAAGATAACGTGTGGGTCCCATTCACGGGCTTCCCATTGAACATGCACTTCTTATCACATTCTTCAGGTCTGGGCTCGAGTGGTATCGCCTTGGAGGGATTGTATACGGCCAATTCATACCTTTTATGACAAATTTCAGACGCAAAAGATGGCATCATGTCCTGATTGACTTTCTTAACCTCAGGCGCACATTTCTTATCACCGTCTCTGTTGGGCTCCGGACGACATTCTTCGGGAACGGGAGGACCAAAGGGAACTTGAATAGCTTCACAGAGAGTCTCTTCGGCTTGAAACTCTTCTGCTAAATGTTCATTTTGTTTCATGCTGTTTTTGAACTTATGACATTTGTCCTTTTTCTTAACACATCTTGGGTTAAGATCCTCTGCTAGTGCTAATTCATCAATATATCTCCGAGTAGGCTTACGCACTCTTTGTGTACGAGGAGCATCAAAGTTACTGTCTTGGGAAGAAATCTTTGCCTCGTGATCCACATTGGGCCCACCTACACTAAGCTCATTGTGTGTCTCCATTGAAGATCTATGGATTGGTGCGCTTGATGAATGGGCAAGATTGTATAGTACTTCTAAATCGTTATTGTCAGATGATATGCTTTCAGGCAAGAAGTCTGTTACGTTCTCCAAGCAGTCAATATCCTCAGAACTGAAAGAGGTGGGGAAGATCATGCAGTTTTCCTCAACTAACATTTTGCTCTCATATTTCATGTTTGAGAGCTCAAGCATTTCACTCCAGCAATCAGTTTCTTGAATTGAACCTGAAAAATTATGGAATCCTAGGGTCTGTAATTACTTTCTTGGACAACGTCATCCAAAATCCTAATCTTTAAGAGGTTTTTTGTTGGATTTTTTTTTTTTGGGGGGGGGGGGGNTGGTGCTTCAAAAATCTCAGCTTCAGCACGAATTGGCTCTATATCAAGAACCTAACTCAAGGCAACACACAATGATATGAGAATCATATAACAAAAAAAGAGTGTTCCGGAACACAAAAGCAGAGATTTCCTGAGTTGTGCCAGAAGTATAAAGTCATTACATATTCGTATTGTTTAAAGAGAAGGGAAGGTGAATCTCTACATACACACACATAGCCCCACACACATGAGGGTTCTGCATTATTATTCAAAATGAACTCATCTCTTTTAAAAAGAAATAACTTTGGAGGAAGGGTGACCTACTTCCATATTCATCTTGCTCTCCATTTCTAATGAAATGCTGGGATCTGACCCACCTATTAACATCATAAATTGGGTTTCTATTAGAAATCATGGAACAATTTTAGGAGAACAAAGCTTACAATAACCCAGAAGAAGAAAAAGAGCACAACACACATTGAATACTTTACGTTCTTAATCAACATGATAGTCGATAGTGTGCACACCATATAAAGAATTTTAAAATTTCATCCTAGGACATATAGATAATGGTGACTGAAGTTGCTTTTCATTTTTCCCTCTTTGTACCACATTTATGAAATTTAAGGCAAGCAAAAGCTGAAAGGTGTAAAAACAAAGCTCCCCTTGGCCTCTCCCTAAATGATGAACCTTATAGTCGCAATGTGATATTTTGACACCAAGCCTCAAATGTCATATTATGATACTGGTGATTTGGGGGCCATACAAGGGTCTCCCAAACACCTTGACATCAACATAATTGTTCCATTCTCTACAATGTGACGATAGTTGATGAAATTTATAGCATTTCCCTAAAATGTGAAGGCTCATCTTGGCACACCGTTTGTGGTGTTTCCATGTGAGGTATGATACTAAAGTCACAGGTTTGAGCCCTAGAAGTATCATCCTGCAAAGAAGTATAAAGTATTAGGTAAGTTTTACCTACGTCACTAGGTAAGACCCTTTCGTGGACCCTTTTTCAACGGGGATGACTTGCACAATAAGGTGGCATTATAGCTTTTCCCTATTGTGCACTCTTCTCCAGAAATTGTTGCTCGCTTTCTTAAAAAATCTCATTTTTAAGAAATGAATTTTGATCATCAAATGAGTCCTTGAAATGAATTAGACAATTAGTCATTCATTCATATCAACCATGCTCAAACCATTTATCTAGAATATTTTAGACAACTCATCATGATTTGTTTATTAAAAATGGAAAGTGAACATCAAAATCCGGACAGAGGGAGAGTTCTAAAAACTGCAAGTCTCAGATTTGTAACATTAATTTTCTATCTATAGAAGTAAATTAAGGGTTGAATCCCACATAAAAAAGAGTTAGCCTTAGGGAAAGCTTGACAGGGTTGAATACTTGAATACAATCACTCGAACTTTTATGTGCAGAAACTCATACAACAGTTGCTCCATAGTATAGAACTTCATCCAAACTAAGTTATAAAGAAGCAGATTAAAAGGAATTGAGAAAAAATTGGCAATTTCAACAAAACGTGTTTCTGAATTACCTTTCATTTCACTGCAATTCCTTTCTTCCTCAGCCTCTTTATCAGGAATGCACGACGACCAAGTAACAGAAACACCCCCTTTATAGTCTACACAAAAAAGCATTGATCTTTAACAACATGCACATTTAAAACTACCCATAGTCTTGCAAGTTAACGAATTTGTTATAAGATTCATCCCAGATTCTTGACATTCCAAGAGAGTGCAATCAGAGCCAATTCTTGAAACCAATTTATATACTTTTAAAAAAAAACTGAAGTGCACATAGTTAACAGAATACGCGCCAATGCAAAAGACCAGCTACACAATCTAAGACCTTGAAATTCATTTCTTACCCAGATTGAAAGAAGAAAAAAAGAGGGAGAAATTCAAAATACACATAAAGCATCAAAATTTGCAAACTTTAAGCCAAATAAAAGTTAGGGAAAAAATGGGAATCTAGTCTCAAGGTGTTAGCTGAAAGCATAAATGGGAGTCAAAGGCTAACCTTAATTCTCAAGAAAAGAGCTGGGGCGTAGAGTGGAGAGTGAGTGAGAGAGGAACAGCAAAGGTCATTTTTTGGCGGAATTGAAATGAGCTTTAGGGAGTGGCATTGTAATGTGGGTTTAGAGTCCGCCGTGACGGAGCTGCGCGCGTTGGTCGGAGTGGCAAAATCATGGGCTTCGATTATTATTCCAAAAATAACAATAAAAAGTTTAATTGTTATAAATAAGTTTTGTTTCGCTCAAAAAAAAAAAAACTTTTGTTCATTATTACTATTGTCAAGGGATACGGAGTCAGGGCCGCCCAATCACTATGAAAGGGCCCTGTCTAATTTAATAATTTAGGTCCCAAATTTTATGTTAAAACTAGATATTTTGATAAAGCAAAAATACTACAAGTACTCTCTAATATTAGTTATTTCATTAAACATAATATAATTAATTTCAATTTTTCAAAAGAGGATGACTCAAAGGTTTCAATTAGGCTATAGTCTTACTAAATCAGTTTTAAATGTAGAGTAACAAAAGATACAAAATTATTTTTTAGGATTGAAGAAAAAATCAGAAAATTTGAAAGAAAAAACTTAAACAAAAATATCTGGAAAAAAATTGAAACATATGCCTATTATTAATTAGAATATGAAATTTGGAAAAATTTTAAACAAATAAATCTAAAGTAAAGAGTTATCAAGATTAGGAACACAAACCTATAGAGGGGAGGAAGCCATAAATCTCATAATAAAGAGGGAGGAGAAGGAGAAAAAGGAGGAGGAACCGAAGAGCCTATTCTACGGAGGAGGAATCGAAGAGCCGGGATGCCGCTGAAGAGCGAAGAAGAATCAAGAATTTAAAAAAAACCAACTACTCCATAAATGGATAAAGCATTGGACTTTGAAACTGTATTGGGCTGAGATATCCTCGGTATAAGATATATATAAATGATGGGCCCCCTAAACTTGGAGGTCCTGTGCAAAAGAACAGCCTGAACTCCCCATTGGGCGGCCTGTACGGAGTACTATTTTTTTTATTCATTTTTTATGGTTTGTTTGATAAAATAAAGTGGTTAAGACAATATTTAATAGAATTTTAATTATAAATTCCGTATTAATTTTTCAAATGACTTAAATTGAAAATAAATTTAATTGAACATCATAAACCGAAATCAAATTTTTATTTTGGAAGGAAGAAAGCATAATAACTATTGCACAAAAGTGTATATCTTATTGAACTTGTGACGGCTTTGTTTGGAAATAATATTTTTTATTAGTATTAACATTTTGGAAAAATAATTTAATTGTGTAGATTAAATTTGAAAATGTTAATTCTAAAATTGTCGTTAGATAGCTTTTTTAAAGCTCTAATACTCAATTTTAACAATGTTACCAAACGGGGTCTAGCATTTCACTTGTGCCTTGGAATCACAACTTTGTGCTTTGCATGACAAGTATTTTAATAAGTGTCTCTGTTTCAATGTATTTTTAGTTTGACTTTTTTCAAGTGAAATCAGACAAATTATAATTGTCAATTAGTACTTTCTAAAAAAATAATTGTCAATTAGTCTGATTTTATATTGTATACTAGTACCAAAAAAAAATTAAATTCCTGAACTTAAATCTAATTATCATTTTTATTTAAATGAGATTCATACTTTGTCTAGTTTAATTTTAAAAAGTTAAATTCAACGAATACTTGTTCATTTGGAAGAAGGGTACAAGTGATTAGATATAGGATTCTCTAATAAAAAATACAGAGTAGTTTTTTTAGGGGATAACAAAAACACACCCTCAGTCTAACAATAATCTTTACATTATACGTTACGATGTTTGACTGAAATTATTTTTAAAAACTATGTCAAAAGTTTAACAAAATAAGAAGTGTCAAGAAACATTTATTTTATTAAATAATCAATGAAAATACACAAACAAATAAAAAATTCTAATAACTTTTGAATGGTGTAGTGTGACATTCTTTTTTTTAGACAGAGGGAATACATGACAACATAAACGATAAGAAAATTACAAAGTCTAAAACATTTCTTTAGAAAATATGGTATTGCTAAACCTATCCTATTTACGACAAATGTGTAATTTTATCATTAAGTTAGTCCACATGTTGTCTCTCCTTGTTTTGACACTTCAAAGATAAATTTATCCATTTCTAATAAAAGACGTGGATTAAGCAAAAGGAGAAACAGATTTAGCAACACCGTAAATATACACTCTCTTTATTTTAATACTTTTTGCATCGTAAAACGTTCTTCCCAGTAAGTATTCATTTTTAATCACTTTTTTTATAATTTTCGTTAGTTATTTGATAAAATAATATTCTTGTCATCTCTTATTTTGTAGAACTTTTGATGTAGTTTGAAACATATAAATTTTATTATTTAAATTTTACATCTACAATCAAATAAATTAAACTGAAAAATAAAAGCAGTCAAACTTTGTAAACAGAAACGGAAAAAACATTTTAGGATGGAAGAAATATTTTTTTTGCCCATATACTCTGTTTAAGCCTTTCCAATAACTCTTGGTTGTATATATTGATTGATTTACAGGATTAAAAGGCAATCTAGCTCAGAAAGTAACATCAAAACTGTCTGAAAGTAAGGTTAAGGCGTCCTGGGCGCAGCATACACTCTTTTACCAATGCCAAAGGAGCCGAACTCGGGACGATGGACTTTACCCCGTGAAAAACGAGCCTTGACTTCCCGCCAAATATCAGCACGTCTCCTGACCCTAACACCACTTTTTTCGCCTTATTCAAGTCCCTCTCATCCCCGTATAAAAACTCTGCTGCATCGCCAATGGAGATGGAAACCACAGGCAGCCCTCTCCTCAGGCTCTCAATGCTCTTGTCGCGATCCTGTGTGTACAATTCTTCAAATGATTGTAAATTCTTTCGCGACGTGAGGACATTTTAGTCCATTTAGATAAACTAACTAAGTAACCTGATGAAGACCAAGTCCGCCTGCGGTTGAATAGAAATTGACTATACATATATCTGGGGACATCGAAGGAAGTTCGTCCTTCGATTCTTGAGAATCTTGAAGTGCCCTTTTCACAAATGAGGTAAGTTTATCAGGAATTGCGGGCGGTGCCCTAGAACCATCAATTTTGTTGTATCTCGTTTGCGGGTCCCAGGCTCTACCGAGGCACATCATGTGTAGTTTGAGTTTACCTCCATTCCTGTAACCAGGCTGGTAAAAACCTCCAAGCGCTTCGCACGCCTTCACTATTTCAACCTAAAATATTAAATGCACGGGTTAATAGAGATGGATTCATCCATCTTCATATAATGTAGAGGGGTAAAAAAACTAGCTAAGTTGCCAGAGTGGGAAGCAAATAATGCCCTACCTGGTCACTTATGCCGACGTAATTCTGCAAGAGAACCATTCCAGATTGTAGCAATTCATAAGAGCTTTCGAGATTCTCAGTCCCGTGATGCATTTCGGTTTCACAAACTGAACTTACATCTCTGGGGAGAATCAAACTGAATGGATTTTCTTTTACGCTTAAATCTTCGAAGAACGAGGAATCATCTGGGGGCTGGGAATCAGCCAATTCTTCCATTTCAATGTTCTCTCCCGTGGCATATTTGGAAGCGCAATCATCACCCGTGTGATCGGTCTTCTTCGCATTCATTTTGGCAATTTCTACAAGGGGTTGATTCAAAACCCTTTCTGCAACCCCGCCAGCATTTCCTACCGAAGATCCTCTCTGCCAAGGACAAGAACAATTAACAATAAAAGAACAGACCCCAGGAGTCCTAGAACCTATGTGAGGATTCTTAAAAGTTCCAAAAAACAATATTTTGTGACCATAATCAATTTTTGCGATTCGTCAAAAGCCGAATGAATATGAACATAAATCATGTCTGCGTTCTTTTTTTACGTATCACACAGATCATAAAGACCACCTAAATGTGAATGGAGAGAGAGTATATATTTAAGTTGCCATCAGATTCCAAACCCGCCGTGAATTTTCTCTAAAATCCCTAAATTTTTGCACCCTAAAACGGATATTTTCACACCAAATTCAGTAGTAAGAACCCAAATCATGATTTTTATTTCTTGAATGATCCCAAATCTGGAATCTAGAATCTACAACAATTAGACTAGATTCCGGGGGTTAAAACAAAAAAAAAAATCAAACCTTAGAATCGCAGCAGAAGTTCGAAGATTCTGCTTGGTTGCTCCCCATGTGTAGAGTGATTGCAAAATTGAATGGGAAACGAGCTTCAAAGGCAAAATTGTTGCGGCATAAGTGCTTAAGAACAAGATGGTTGTTCTTTATGTTTAGAAAGAGCCCAGAATCCAGGAAAATGTTTTGGTAATAAATTGGGCGCATGGATGGTATAAAATTAATATTAAGGGAAAACATTTACTTACTATGAGCATGAATCCTATGTTAGGGAACAAGGTTATAGCTCAATTTATCCCGTCTCATTGTCTAGCTAGTCCTAACTGCATAGGGCCCTCGAGTGTCATCCTAAGAATGGAAGATGGTTGGTCGGATTCAGTCTCTTACATTAATAAGTTTGAAGATTCTGCGTGGAACTTTTCGTTTGATTTCTGACCCGATTTAATTATGTTTCAAAATGGATCCTCCTTTGGTCCCAAATTTGATTACAAATTGGTATTTGCAAGGTAGAATCATGTATCTTTTAAAATCATTTTATTTAAAAATTATTACATCAATAAAAATTACTTATTAAAATACTCGTCAAAAGCTCTACAAAATAAAAGGTAACAAAAATATTTTATTTATTTAAATAATCAATGAAAAATTTACAAATAAACAAAAATTATCAAAATGTGAGAAAAAAATTGTAATTAAATTATTTTTAAATAGATTTATATGACAACTGAAGTAGAATTAAAAAATAAAATTTAAATATATAAAAATTACATCAAAAGTTCAACAAATCAAGAGCAGACATAATTATATTATTTTATCATTTGAAATTTTGAATAACAAAAATTTGTAAAGAAAAAATTAAAATTTGACGCGGTAAATAATAAACAACCAACATAAATTAAGACAGAAAAGTAAACCGTATATGGTATGAACTATGAAGGGCGAACAAGTGGATAGTTAAAATAAAGCAATTGCAGAAAGGGGAAGGTTCAAGTGACATTGAACCTTATGTCATGGGTGTTACATATGTTTTGGAACATACAGTCCTTTCTTAGTATAAACTCTATAACAATTTAAAAAGAAAAACTTAAACTGTTTTAAAATGAATTACAATTGCAGAAAAGCAAAAGATAAGAAAGCCCAGCAAAATTAAACATAAACTGGTTCAATAATTATGTAAGAGAAGAAGAAGAAGCAATGGCGCAAACGATGAAGAATCATCAACTGTATAGGTCATCATAATCAGCCCCTCCGGCGGCTGAAGTTGCAAAAGGGTCGGCGGCCGGTGCTGCTGCTGCCGCCGGGGCGGCATCTGAGAACTTGAACTCGGTGCCGAAGCCCCGAGACTGCTGCAGAGTTTGAGCGAAGGCTTGGTACTTTCTGATATCAGCATCGCTCACGCTCCGCCGCGCGTACTTCATTGATTCTTCAAAGTGAGCCGCCTTTATCTCCGCCACCTCGTCCTCCACGTCCTCCTCCATAGCCTCTGGGTTCTCCCTCCTCTTCCTTTCCCTCTCAAGGTCCTGCAAGAAAACACATCAACCAAACACAGTAACACACCCTTCATTCCAAAGTTCTGGGAAGGAAAAAAATACATTAAATTTCACACCTTTTCGATGTTCTCTCTAATGGCATATTTGCAAGAACGCTGGCAGATCTCTGTAATGTCAGCTCCACTGAAGCCTTGAGTGTACTGGGCAAGAGCTCTTAGATCAACATCCTTGGAGACTGGAGACTTCCTCAGGCAGGACTTGAAAATCTGGAAACGAGATTCTTGATCAGGGAGAGGAATGTAAATCAGCTGGTCCAGACGGCCAGGACGAAGAAGGGCAGGGTCAATTATGTCAGGCCTGTTTGTGGCACCGATTATGAAAACCGTCTTCTTGGCATTCATTCCGTCCATTTCTGTGAGGAGTTGATTCAAAACACGGTCTGCAGCCCCGCCAGCATCTCCTGACGAAGATCCTCTCTGCAGGGACAAGAACAATTCGTATTAAGAGGAAGAAAAAAATGTGTTTCAAGACTCAAAGGTTTCCTCTTTTTTTTTTATTTGTCCCAAAAAAGTTAATCTTTCCCTTTAAGAAACCAATCTTGTGGTTCACACAATTCCTCTCCTCTGCACAAAATTCAACACACTTTCGCCTTTATTGATAAATGTGTTCGGTCAATTGTGAAACTTTAGTGAAACAAACCTGTGTGGCAATGGAGTCCAATTCATCAAAGAATAGGACACAAGGAGCAGATTGGCGAGCCTTGTCGAAGATCTCTCTAACGTTGGCCTCACTCTCCCCAAACCACATAGTGAGCAGTTCCGGACCTTTGATGCTGATGAAATTTGCCTGACATTCATTGGCAATAGCCTTCGCCAAGAGAGTTTTCCCGCACCCTGGTGGGCCATAGAACAAGACACCCTTTGAGGGAGACATTCCAAACTTCTCAAACTTCTCGGGATGCTCCACTGGATATTGCACAGTCTACAGAACAACAAACATGTGAATTTTGATAGAAGAACTGATGAGCTGTACTAAGCACATTTACATTTCTACAAAAACAATTGCATTA